TTTTTAACTCAGATATACCAGTATTCTTCATAAAGTATATGTATTTTTGGTGGAATATCCTACAACAGAGATAGTTATCAATCATTATCGCTTAGGTCCACCCGATCTGATATAGTGGTCCGGGATAATTATTATCGGTCTGACAGGGTGAGATTGGCATTTAGCTGAAAGTCTCGACATCATATGTTCCATATGCCGATCTGAAAATGTACGCTAGATCAGTTTGTATACATTAGTTATCGGATCAAATTTACAAAGTTCAGATCGGACAAGTCAAAGATATACGGCTACTGACCTTATTTCAAAGAAAGTGGGTGTCTACATTTGGTAGAAATTGACCTTCATACAATCGGTATATCGATCCGAACCTAACAGGCGTATGCCAATGATTATGAAGTTGGATCACGACGTTAGCATGTCTATACAATGGTAAATGCACCAATGGTGCGATGAGTATTACCGTTAATGTCATTCGTGAAGGGCTATTTTGTTCGGATGAACATTGACTACGAAATGTGAAGATCGAGCCTGGATGATCGGGATAAATTAATAAAGATATGCATAGGCCCCTTTTGTCCACCGACACATTATTTGCAATTAATACCGTCTGGATGCTTAATCGTACGGACGAATGCGCAAACAGTGTTTTTTTAAATGGACAGTACACGTCAAAGGATTTGTTGATCCTCAATAAATGGATAATTTGTGAGTATAAAATCGGCACTGATTTCTATCGAAGATGTGTTAGCATTCGATACAGCGGTTTCATAAATTTGATGTCTTTAAAGGAGAGCCAAGGTCTCACCTTGAAAATTGAGATCCAAAGAGCCATTGTCGATGCGTTCTTTGTAAGGATGCCATAAAGGTAGTATTTATATATTGAATTTGGGCACAACGGTTCGTGTCTACTGAATAATTTGAGTATGTACCTGATAGTTGAATGGGGTTTTGATACAAGTGTTAGTATTAGTGAGAAGACACGAGCCTTGGACAAGTGTGCTGTGAGGTAATCATTGAAAGATACTGGTGAAAAGTAGATATACTATAAAACCCTTTATCAGCTAAGAGTTCTCTAGGAGGTAGGGTATGCATAATGACAGGTCCAAAGATTTATGTCGTTGCGTAATACATATATTGTTACTTGTATGCTTATAGTAAAGATACGCGTATTTTTCTCCGAACGGAACTCTTTGGATTTCCGATACTCGAGAGTACGCAATCCAAGTGCAAAAACAGTATTATTTATAATGGTTTGGCAAGAAATATAAATAAATATCGCTTTTACTAACAAACACTGATCTGCGATCGGACAAATATAAATGTATTTTTAAATAAGCGTTAAAGGTTGAAATTGCTAGAAAGAGAGATAGCGATATCGCTAACTAGGGATACGACAATAACAACGAACAAAAAGAAGTGGACGAAAAATTGTGGGACAAAAGTACACACAGTTTTATATGTATACGTAGCATGTCCGTATGGATGGACGATCTAGATCGCAAGACCACCGATATTTACTTATCATAACGACTTAAGTGCTTAGACGATCACTTGAAGTGGTACAAGACAAGTTTAAATGTGATCAATTATCTGAGGATGCAGATTGAGCAAGATTGCTCAAATTAGTATACTCTACATATATTATTGCTTCTCGATCGCTTCAAACCAAACTAACCTGAAGCGGATTGACAGTATCAAAGACCTTCGCGAAAAGCTCAATTTTGTCCAGCCGACGTTTACACAAAAGGGCACAATGTTTTACAATAACACGAATCGGATTTCCCCTCTGTAAGTCGGCAAGACTGTTGTCAGTATGGAAGGTTTGCCATTCGCATCAGTAATCTTGCCATGGCGACTTCTCCACATTTTAATACAGCTATTGCAAGTTGACAAAGTGAAGTTATTCAACTTCGTATTCGTATATTGAAATTCCGCTCGTGACTCACGCTACCCTTGTGGTACTCAATTCGTGAAGTCTGAAATCCTTACTGATATTTTCTATCAGTAATTGGGCACTAAGGAGGCTAAAAACTGCAAAAATTATGACTAGAAACAATTCTTAATGCTATATTCACGTAAATTAGCACAACGAGGAATTTGGTGATGTGTAAACATGTCACTAGCGTCATGAAATCATTCACACATCGTATGTTCTGTTTGCGAAAGTGTTTGTGGCATACTACAAGCTTGTTGTTGATTTTGTAAAAGTAAATCTGATCTTCAAAAGTGTATTCCTGTCCGTTTGAGCCTTTGTTGAGACAACTGTTTGCACGTCGCACTTTTCATTTGCAGATTTCTAGACTTGCACACTGTTCTTCATCAGCGCAAAAATACTCTTAGATTTACACATAAACTATTTGAATAATTGATTCCTCTAGCTGGCGGCAACAGAGCGAAATATTGTGGGTTGAATGCAATTCTACGACTCTTCAGCTGATACGGTCGACGGAGATAATGACGCATGCTTGTGTCACTGCTACAGATCGCAATATGACCATCTAAAATATTTAAAGCTTGCTATTCTCGAGGTACGGGTCTCTACTTCACGCGAGACAACGTCGTTTCTGTAAGAATTAATCATTAGGAATGGTGTAGACCTAGTGTTCTGCTTTGTCGGGAGAAATCGAGTGCAAGGCGACGAAGCACTGTGCAACGTAATCAGGAATTTTACCGTTCCCATGATCGAGTAACGCCGGCATTCCTATCGTTAAACCGCAAGTGCCATATTCGAACGCGAGTGAGTCATGGTGTCGTAAGATTCCTGTAATCAGATCAAAGTTATCTCGTGTTTAATCGTAAAAGTCGAATGCGTTTTACTAACGGTAACTTCTGGTCCTTATATTATATAATATATTTAGGGAATTGCTAAATTCACACCCCTTTTCCTTAGATTCACACCCTTCCTTCAAAATCTTATATATACAAGGTACGCAATCGCCGTTGGGCAAAGACGAGTACTTTCTCTGCCACTTGGCTACAGGCGACATCCGACATCTTGCACGCTGCTGTAGCTGCTGGCACCGACATAGACAAAAAAGGTCAAAGCCGCGATGGAGTCGGGCGCACTTGTGACCGACGAGATTGTCGTCGGTCTCATTAAGGACGCCATCAAGAGTTCGGAATGCCGTCGTGGCTTTTTTTGCTTTAGCTGACTGATAAACAAACTCATCAGATGGTCACGCCGAGCGGGCAACGCATGTCCAGCTCAAAAGTAGCAGACGTCGATGCAAAGACGTAGTAAGAAACGAAAGACTATACATACGTATATCGTTGTCATATCGTGAGCAGCAAGACTGAGTGCGTCAGCTCCAAACTCATGCGATGACGATAAATGTGTTCGACGAAAGCTACTGGCTGCAAGCAACACGAAAAGCTTGTGTAGTCTCGTCAATCGTTGTAATGTTGGCAGCATATCCAGGATCAATGTCACAGTACAGCATCCGGCTTTCACTCAATCTAACTCCAAACTGACGCCGGTTTCTTTCTTATCTGTCTAGTTTGCTCGTCGCAGTTGACTTCCACAGCTGAAGCTGCTACTCTGTAAGTATGCAACAAATGCTAGTCTCAAGCAGCAAGTACGCTTTTGCTTGCTGCTGCTCGTTTGTTCATGCACATCTTGACGTGCGGATATCTAGTCGGCAAGCTAACGACTCAATGGTCACAACGGGGCTGTAAAACACTAGAACGAGAAAAGCAGAAATACACAGCCACACAGCCGCTTCATTCAACAGTCTCATACCCCTTCTATCATTATCCACACATTTCAACGCATACCACACGCTTCCAGTGAGCCAGATCCGTCCTGAAGTTTCGTCGCTGTAAATTACTTTAACCACTCTCGTCGTCACAGCTCAACAGGAGACGCCGTCAAATGAAAGCAGGTACCTGCAAAGCAGCAGGCCAGGCGACCTTAAACTACATCACACGCTGCATCACTTGCTTGCAGGCGTCCCCGTAGTCCCAGCGTCGCTCACAGCAGTCATCTTGGACTTGGCTTCCTCGACTAAAATGCCCTTCAGCAGCTGAAACTTGGCGTGTTTCTGCTCCGTCAGCTCTTTTAACTTTTGCTTGAGTCTCGACAGCTCATTTCGGGCTTCTTCCAAGTCGTTGTCGTCTTCTTGTGCAGCTACATCTGCTGCTGTTGTTGTCGTTGGCGGCTGCAGCTACTCCGCCTCTGTCTGACGCACTTGTCCATCGTTTACAGCCACTACTTCTCCATCCTGTCTCCTCTGTCGGGCGCTAATCATCTTGCGCCAGTTCTTTTGCCTGCACTGACGGCGAATAGCGCTGCACAACGAGCAAAACAAGCACAACCCGTCGGCTTTTAAGATCCTCGCGTGGTTCACGTCAATATAACGCCACGTACGTCGCGACCACCGCGCGATATTTTGCATCCCGCGATCGACGGGACGTTTGGAGACGAAATGTGTGCGGCAGAATCGCCTCGAGGTCGCTCAGTCCTGTGTGCGGAGCGCGCGGGTTGCGCGCATACGGCCGTCCGCTCATCACGTGCGCTCGATAGTTCAGTCGCCCCTGCAAGATAGGCGGCGAATATTCAGCCAATCAGAGACGCTCGCTTTTCTTTTTTACGGAACAGAAACAGCAGACGTGCGTGACGCATCGATTCATAGATTTTGACAGGCCCGCCGACAAATAATATGTACTTTCTCTGCCACTTGGCTACTCGTCTTTGTCCAACGGCGAGTGCGTAGCTTGTATATATAAGATTTTGAAGGAAGGGTGTGAATCTAAGGAAAAGGGGTGTGAATTTTGCAATTCCCTATATTTGTGGCTACAAATTAAAATCTGGAGACCCTTTAAGCGTATCCTGTTATCCAATTTCTATCTTTACAAATAGAAAACACATACCCATGACAATATCTAGTCGACGATTAAACACGTAAATGATACATATATCGTCTGTGAGATACCGATTTGACATTTTATACGTCATGCAAATCGTATGCCAATTAGTTCCGTCTCTGGCCGTCACACGTCTACTACGTTGTCTTGCGTGCAACGTAGTAGACTTTACATGACACTTTCAGTACATAACATCACTATGAATATTCTCTTGTTACGCATCATTTCATGAACTATCGCATAATAATTCTAACAGGGTTGTGTGATTATGTTAAAGCAAAAAAGTTCACATCGCCTTCGTTTTATTGAACAACCTGCAAATCAATTCCACTCACAAGTGAGGTTGATGGATGAAAGAATTTGGAAGTAAATAAACATGATAAACATCGCAGGATTGCCCTACTATATCCTGCCCTCATAATCAATTGTCACATGAATCTTAATGCTTTTATATGGATGACCAGTGACGTCAGACCCATCGAAAAGAAGGCATGTGTTGGTCGGACTTCTCCAACACTTTCCCTCGTATCATTTTCTTATCTATACCATTCGCAGCAAAATGTGCACAGATTGCGGCTGCACAGATGTGCTCCGACGCCATCGAGAAATAAGTTATCAAATACAAGTAAGCATATTGGTCTACTGCAGTTGTCTTTAGACTTGTAGTGTCTGTCGCTTTAGTTTGACGAAGTAATACAAAATGTGATAGCGATCTTCACAAGTGCAATCATCTTATCTCATATGCTATACGAGACTTCCGACCTAGAATCTCATCAGACAACTATGTCCAGTGATCATATGTATCTATTTGTATGACACGGACCGCCGTGAGATCTTAGGGTATTCCGACCTATTTTTAGACTCGCCTTATAAACCAAGTTCGTCGCACTCGCAATATCGCGATGATCGTTTATATACGCTACTCCATCTCATCTTTAGAGCAGCGATGACCATGACGTGATTAATTACGCCAAATCTGCTGGTCGCGACATACATGGTATAAACGCTTTTGCAGACGCTACTTACCAACCTACACATAAAGGTGTTGCGTCGCACAGACTACTATATATGCATATATAATGTAGCGACTTATTTAAAGATATTCAGAACGATTGAACTTCGACAGCATGTCTCAAAAGAGATGCGATAGGGCATCAATTTTAAACAATTAACACGGTGATATCTATGTTAAACGCGAAGTGTACATCATCATCCTTTCGGGGCATTGGTATTACACTGGGTACCCCAAAAATATGGACGATGCATCCCTCACCTGCGATTTTAAATATGACTTTACGAAACGTGCGAAACGTAATAATGCCAAAAGTCTCAATTATGATTTCTCAAATGTTTCATATTTTGAGGGGCCTCTAATGCATTGATATAAAAGTTGCTGCTCGCGCACTGGTTGAAGGTACTGCATGTCATCGATGTATTGCAATGAGAAGTTTTAACTAGTCTCCGAGGGAGTATAATTATTGCATCAAACAAAATATATCATCCATTTTTCTGTACACAATTGACAAGGTGTTAAATTTTTATTTGAAGTGGAAACCTCTATCAGTGCGCGAGTCCATCAGAGTGACAGTAATGATGAAATTGCGAGACAAATTTGGTCAATGCGATCTTCATATCTATATCAATCATTGTAATCGAGCAACTGATGAGTTACTCAAAGCTCGAAACACAAGCAAAAGCGTTGAACATACTTTACTTATGGCACTAAAATTGCAATGACCGGGCGCAATGACGGTCTAAATAAGCGTTTCACGCATCTCAAACATGCGAGTGATGCGCCTTTTCTTAGTGAAGAGATATCTGAAATTAGAATCTTGGTATCCTAGTGTCACTATGAAGTTTATATTTTTCGTGACCAGATGCTACGGTGGTGTTTTGATAACAAGAACCACGTGGGTATACTTAATCGCGAATGATATTTCGTCATCAAAATAAATTGCTTTATGATAATACGGACGGAGGCTTCCGACATAAATGGAAGCTCTTTTAAAATCGTGCGTGTCAACTTAATCATGTATAGTCTATTATTTGATAAAGCACACAATATTTATCGATACACTTGGACAACAATTTCATGCTACCTACATTTGTCACTACGTTTCAATGAGCGTACTGTATATAGAAAAATGGATTCGTTCACAATCGACGAAAATTAGGTTTATCCATCAAGTATTTTTAGAGTACCACTTCTACCTCCTATCCAACGCTATCGAAACAGTGCATATCACATTACAGATCCGTTATTCTCAAGTAAGCAAATATAATCCGTTGGCTCGATCTCCTAATACGAAAGACCGCACTCGCTTAGGATTCTTACATTCTTGTAGCGGTTATCGTAATCAGCATCGATCTTATCGAACGAAAGGATACAATAATCCTCGATTCATAAGAGTCAGATTATTAAGTTCTAGATTGAGTCGTTTTCCCCTCAAGTTAGTGCTACGACAAGCTGAGGATACGCGTATGTCTTGATCTATTCACGCAGAACCAATTTCTACTTCTTGGTAGTGCATGCAACAAATGGTTGACAGACAATTGCGGTACCTCATGATGCCGTTTTGGAGTTTAATGGGTGGACTTGAGCGCAAATTATCGAAGTATATAATCAACTTGTGCGTTCTGTATGGCAATCTGCCTCTCAAAATATCACTATCTACACTGATAATCATTTTCGAGAGACCGAATCCCTAACGCCAGGACTCCGCCGTAATTTTGTGGGTGCCACTTAGACAAAATGTAGCAGGAAACCAATGTAATCGTAAAAACCTTAATTTAAAATACACAAGCACAGCATTTTTCTGAGACCTACAAATATAGCAGCAACAAGTTTCAATACCATGCTGTAACGATCAACAAATGCAAGGATATCAGGACTCTTGCGAGAGTCTTTCGGTTTTTCAAATACAAAGTTCAAACAAAAAGAACTGTTAGCATTTTGCCGAAGCCGGTTGAGCTTCAATGACGCACGTAGCGAAGAAGTAGAAATGTTCTTCCAGCTAGATATACCCTTGCAAACAAACGGTGGCTGTCGTAAATTCTAACCCCATACATATATACAATAGGTTGCTTCTTCCTTAGATGCTGCCCTCCCTATTTGCATAAATGTCCCAGATCACCCGACTTGTTAGCGAGTAAGCCATTCGGTGCTGCCTGTATTATAACACAACCGACAGCAGCTTCCTCCTCAGTATAGTTGCCAGCCACACTGAGGTATTGTGCAGTCGTGATGACGACCGAAGTACAAGTAAGACCATACCACACATCGAAAACCTTACAAAAGCTTAAGAACTCTTCAATACGATTATGATGTGAACATCTCATGAATAAGTAGCGGAACTAGTAGCGGAACTTTTCACGCACCGAAGCTGCCAGATATCTGAGGCTGGTAAGGCAACAACCTTCTGAACCATGGTAACCAAGGATGACATCGAATTTGCCATCCAAATCCAGTGCGATGAAACTCTTCATCGTATTCCTCATTTTCTACCGGAAAACGGGTCCCCACTACACATATCTTTGCTGTCATGAATACGCATGTTGCATGGCGGACCTTCATCGTTGTTGTTAGGGTCTCGAGATAGACTAACTTACGCAGACAATCTTCTTGCGACTGTTGTCGAGTAAACTTATTTTAGCTTCTCACAGTCAACTAGATCACGAAACTACATGTCTTCCGTCACTCCGATCTTCGGACTGCGAGGCATACCCTCATCACCAGGGCCCACCCAGCAACAACACCCAGCAACACCAAGCCTATAAGTTAGGGGTAAGATTTGTCAAGAAACACGCTTGTTATCTTAACTTTGCTGGATCAGTCAGGCGCTATGTACCTACTGACTACTACCGCCTTTGGATGATCAGCCGCACTGGTACGAAATTACAACATCAATTGCTTCTCGGGCCCTTCTCGGCCGTCCGACGACCACTACCTACTGTCGTACGCAAAATTGGATTCGGGCACTTCATTTGTGGGGCTCAGATTTGTGTCTCTTGACATCAATTTCATTTCGGCAGTTGTTTGTAATTTTGGAACAATAACTTAGTCTTTAAACACAAACACCCATAGAAATGAAATCGATATCAAAGATGGGTCAATCCGCATGCAAATAGCGAGTTCTTCATACTTCACATGGAAGAGTTCTATGAGTTAGTTCTGGACCTCCGACCTCGTATTATCTCTGGGGACGATCGAAACTTGAGTTGACGTCACCCGACATCAGGATGGGCCCTTTTTACCACGGATATCCTGAAAGCTTGCATATCCACTTCTTGCCGACACAGATAGATATTGATGGGACTACCCTCATGCTCAGTATGAGTACTATTTGAAGTGTTTTCATGACTGGGTTTGTTGTACCACAACTCACGCGGCGCGTATGTGTTGAGCGTAAGTATGCGCTTCACGCTTACTCTGCGTAGGCTGTTAAGCTCTGATCGGGATCTGCCATAACTGCCTCTCCCTCATTTAAGCAAGTAATGGTTGGCGTTGTGACCTTACGAGTCCGATAACGGCGCCGCATCACGATTCTAATGCACAGTTTTTTTGGTAGTCGTGATCTTGCCGTCAAGGCGCAGTACCTTATTTCTTTCGCAATATGATCTACATTATCACATCTAGAAAGACGATAATCATTGATGATGACGACCCCGTTTCTGCATTTATGCTACTCACGTAGACAATATGAAATTGCAAGAATCGCGGCTTTTCTTCCATTACGTACGCCAATGTTTTTTAACACAGGGCGTCGTTATACAGGAAATCCTTCTTTCCGCAGGAGATGACGTTGGTTCTTATAAGATTGATTTGATTTAATGGACTTATAGAACAAAAGATATTATTCATCGTGTAAATATGTAAGAAAGAATTACCATTCTAAACCATTACTATACCAGGTAACAGTAAAGTCTACAACTAAAATTTCAATCATTGTCCTAATAAAAACACCATGAATGATTACGACTTAAAGTTAAATCTTAAGAAAAACAAAAACAGCTTCCAAATAAAAATGATAAAACGAATAGCTACAAACATGATCTCACACGCGAGCTAATTGTATGCAGAAAAGAACAGCTCGCGGTATACATGCAATCGACGGTAGTGCTGTTACGTTTTAGACAGGAATGGGACAAAACTTAATTGGAGTTGTACCACTGAGCACAAACGTCGTGCCAAAGCTGATTTCGATTCAACCATTGTTCGAATAGAAGTAGAAGCAGTTTTATACAACCTGGTGGTAGAAACGTAGCTGGCTTCAATCAATCGAGCTCCTTCACCTTTTTTCTACTGGCTAGTTAGGGCTCGCCACATGCGTTCGTACCGATGAAGTCAAGTGGCCTTTTTTCATACCGATGTATTCGAAAACACATCTGAAGTTTTGTGTCGCAATGGACAGCAATGATGCAAATTCGCATTCTTCTTCGTCATCACTAAGATGGGATACAATGCCAGAAGAAGAAGTCATCACAGCAGGACCAACGCTAATAACGCGTGTATGCCAAGAAGCATATGAAGCTCGAAAGTGTCCGTCTTTTGCGAAGCTATGTTGTATAACCTGAAAAGTGTTTGATGGCTCAAAAATCAGTATCATGTTTGCATTTTAGATAGATACAACATATGCTGGTGATGGTTCTTATAAGCAGCATCAGAGCGGAGCTTTGTTGACTGCTCATACGAGCAATCGTCTTACGCACGTCATTGCTTACCGATCGATCTCGCCTCGTACGATAGCACAAAAGAATCGTTGACAACATCTCTTACCCCATAGGTGTCCTGCTCTAAAATAATGTCCTCAACGTAAGGGTATTTAATCATAAATTTGTAATACAACTGCTAAAAACCTGATTCAGCGTGGGTTGGAAAACGAGACAGAGTTCGGTCTGTCTTTTGCTCGCCAGGTTCGGTTTCGGCTACCATGCGCATCGTTTGGAAGACATCACAAGCGTTTTCGGCAGCGGTTCTTGTTACTATGTATTCATAGATGCGATCGCGATAGAGGTTCGTACATAGCGTATTAAACGATCAGGACGTAAGTAACGTACGAAGCGACTGTGGCGGGAACAACGACGACTCGCCCCGCCCATTCGTGTCAGTGGTTGAAAAGCGTAAGCAAATCGCTTTTCATTGGCTGAAAACAATCGCTCGCTAGCGCGTAAACAGCTCATGACGTCTACCGCGTGTCCGATCTGCTCACGTCATGTGCGTCCGGAGAACCTCACGCTGCACGTCGAGGCGTGTCTGGACAAGCACGAGCAGCTAGAAGAAAAGCCTATTCTTTCAACACCGCAGTCTAGAAAGTCCACACTTCCTGCTGCCATTGCTACGTCCAATCGCAGATCGTCACCTCGCAGCCAAGAGATCCCATCGCCGTCATCGTCTTCAGTAGCTACGAAGAAGCGTAAGCGATCGACAAAAGAAAATGACAGTGATTTGCCATTGGCCGAGAGGATGAGACCCAGTGATCTAGACGACCTCGTTGGCCAAGACGAGCTTCTAGGTGCCGGTAGTTTGCTAGCTGCACTTATTCAGACGGACCAAGTGCCGAATATGATTGTGTGGGGGTACGACTCGCTGAGCTTTGCTACCACGTGGTCAAAGAAGACTACGACTCATCTATCTTTGGCTCTGTTGATGGATGGACAGACCGCCAGGAAGTGGCAAAACCACGTTGGCGCACGTGATCTCCAAGCGAACGGGGTGCAAGTTTATCACGTTGTCCGGAGCGTCGTCGAAAATGGCGGATGTAAAGGACGCTGTTGAACGTGCAAGAGGCGAACGCACGATGTTTGGTCGACGGACAATTGTCTTTGTCGATGAGATTCATCGCTTTAGCAAGAGTCAGCAGGTACGTCGTTGGTTGTTGGACTTCTTCGTGCCATGTGCTCAATTCTGTAGCTTACGTGCTTGTTACTGCTTATCTTTTTGCTGGGTCGACAGGATTTCTTCCTTCCTGTTGTGGAAACCGGCACCATCACATTGATTGGAGCGACGACAGAGAACCCGTCGTTTGAGGTGAATAATGCCTTGCTGAGTCGATGTCGCGTGTATACGCTTAAGAAGCACACAAATGAGTCCATCAAAACGATTTTGCGACGTGCGGTGCGTGACTATGTCGCTGGCTGTGTAGTATCGCTGCCACGAACGCAGGAACGGGGAAGTGACGATAAAGTGATTGATGTTGAAGTCGAGGATGAAGCGATTGAGCATCTGGCACAGCATTGTGCAGGTGATGCCCGTATCGCGTTGAATAGTTTGGAGATGGCGATACAAAGTGCACCAATGGACACTGAGAAGCACGTGCTTCGAGTATCAGCTGTCCATGTCCAGCATTGCTTTGCGCGCCGTTCGACGCTGTATTACGACAGAAACGCAGACATGCACTACGACTGCATCAGTGCGCTCCACAAGTCTGTACGCGGTAGTGACGAAAACGCTACGCTCTACTGGTTGGCACGCATGCTTGAGGGCGGTGAGAATCCGCTCTACATTGGCCGACGGCTCATCCGTATTGCAAGTGAAGATGTTGGTCTGGCAGCTCCTGAGTTGCTCCCCATGGCGGTATCTGCCTACCAGGCTGCTCACTTTATGGGAATGCCTGAGTGTGATGTCGTGCTTGCTCATGTTGCGACGATGCTGGCTCGCGCGCCAAAGTCCGTTGAAGTGTATTCGGCGTACAAACGAGCTAAAGAATCGATCCAGAAATGGGATAAGGGTGCACTACCTGACGTTCCGTTGCACCTGCGCAACGCTCCAACAAAGCTGATGAAGGAGTGTGGCTATGGCAAGGAGTACAAGTACAATCCGCACTATACTGCTGACGAGTTGAAAGATCAGACATATTTGCCAGACGAGATGCTCGGCACGAACTTTTTTGGACTCAACGACGTGGCCAACGATCCATCATGAATGTCACGCCTAAGATACTGTGAAACAAGGGACGAAAATATGTTGATGTTCTTGAGATTGCGACACGGAATTTGTCGTGGCTTCTGAAACGTTTAATAGCCTGAGTTGCAGCAACATCGAAAAGTGCCGTTTTCATTTGCTATTGTTGCAAAGACGGATTTCCTGAGATACCTTTACGATTGAACCAAAAACGCTTCCAAGTTGTACACGTGCACCAATTGGACCTCAAGTTGCTGATGTTGCACTTTTGGTTTCAATGCTGCTTTTGTGAATAATGAGAGCAGTGCATCGTGCTGTGAACACAAATTTGTCAGTTAGAGTGCAAGCGCTGAACAAGCCCTTTTCTGGCGCAAATGGTCCCGGCTTTATCAAACAGGAAAGCTTGTCGTATACTGCCAAAACAGGCTCTGTTTCTTCCTGTCCTTTTGTTAGAGGTCAGAATTACGGAGCTTTATTGCATTGGCATGCATATAAAGCAACAGGTCCTGATCGCATTCGCCAAATCTGATCCAAACGACTCATTGGCGAGTCCAGTTTAGTGATTGCAACCACTTGACACACAAGCCACTTTGGCCGCCGAACCAACTTTTGTATCCACAGGTCTACTAATCGATCCGGAGTACGCAATAGCTTTACCCTGTTACAACCTGAAGCTTCGTAGGAGGCGCAAAAAGTACACCTTGATACTCACCCAGCCTTTACATTCCTGCACTTATAGCCAGCTAGACAACTATTGCACTTCTAGCCAGCAAGACAACTACAGTACTGGTTGTTTAGCTGGCTATAAGTTCAGGAATGTAAGACCGAAGCTAAATCTGCCAACATCTGCCACTTTGTAACAAGCACTACAACGCCTTCCAACATATCCATACACGCCCCCGATGTATGTCTGGCTGCTAAACAAAGCTTTTGCTCACGTCCAGCAGCAGCAAACTGATTAGTTTCGCTAGCAGTAGCTCCACGAAGGATCGTGCTTCAACGTCGACACGGCTTGATCGAATACACATACGGTCCGGCCTGTGACCGTGAGATCGTGAAGCTCTGTTTACAAACGATCACGAATCAGCAGCATGAGATTGCGCGTTCGTTGCGTAGCATCCGGTTTACCTCCTTACGAAGGAGCCTCGACCACCTCTTCGAAAGCTCCGTCTCAGCACGAGTGGAGCTGACTCCGCACGTTGCACGCAGATGACTCGAACGAAAGGCTTTGACCAAGCACAGTTCGCCTTGCATACAAACAGTCTACATGGTCGCCCGAGATAAAAGTACCGCCCGCGATCGTGCCTACCCACTTGAGAACGTCTTCGATTGGCACAGTCCATCCGACTATCATAGCCTTCCGATGGACAAACAAGCTCCACTCTTGTCAAAGTCTTTCCATCTTCCGCTCTCCATTCGCCAGAAAGTCGGTAATCGATTCACAACAGTCCCAGCCACACTGCGTGCAGGATCAGGTACACAGAAATACGTCCAGTCGTACTGTACTACACACTCACTACGGTAAACTCAAATACAGTGAGTGATGCGCATCTTTGTCACAGACTCAGACCTACTCCACTTCTTCTCGAGGAGCTCCATCCACAAATCCACGACCAGAGCATTTCCATGACCGCCAGTGCTCTCTTCCTGCAGCAATTGCTACTGCTGCCGCTGCTTCTCCAGATGCCTCAGACAGTCGCACTCCAGCGGCTCGTCATCTCCCGCGCAGACGCCGCCACGTCTGTTCTTTTCGGCCGAACGCTTGTGCCATTGCAGCTCTCAGCGCGTGTGCAGACGGACCCTTCGACGAACTTGCGAGCCGTCGCCCCCGTCACGTTGGACTCGTTTGTGGTTGGCGACCAGTGGATACTGAACAACTGGCGCTCGCCGCTGGCTCAAGTGCTGGGAACACAGTCGCGTCCAGAGGCGTTCGTGGTGGATGTGCAGCTCAGCGCACCGACGGACGTGAACGTCTCGACGCTGTGGCTCCAAGCGGACGATGCAGTGCCGGACGAGGAGGTGGAGCTCACGGTCGTCTGTGGACGTGACGCTCTGCGGGGGCTCACGGGACTGCTACAGATCCACGTGGACGGCATGAAGGCGACGTTTGGAAACGGGTGGCTGCCTGAGAGAACGCACTTGACTCAGTTGTAAGGAGCTATTGCGTGCTATGTGGTGAAGACTTAGCTGCGCGGGTGCGAGTCGATGGTTGTTGAGGCTATGTACTTGGTGTTGTATTGTGTTGGTGGATGGGTGTACTGTGTAGGGTCATTGATGCAGCTGCAGTGGAGGAGTTGGTGGTCGCGACGTCAGTGACGATAGAGCAGATGGTCATCCGTCATAGCAACTTGTCGTCGTTCCCGACATCGGTGCTGGGCTTGGAGACGGCAGTAACGACACTGTATGGTTGCAGCGCTCTTGTTGATGTAGTGGACGGAAGGTTTGGGGACTGATGGCATTTTTGGTGCTGGTGTGTGGATTGTGGTGTAGTGTGCTGGAGCACAACAGGATTGCAGGGCCTATTGAGCTAACGGAGAACGAGTACGCTCATCTTTTGGACATCTCGGACTTCCGAGCAGCGGACAATCGTGTTGATATGGCACGCAGTGGATCGAAACCCTGTGCGAAGGAAGAGATGATTGGTGATCTGGCGATTTGCATCGTCAAGGACGTGCAGCGCTTCGCCACGTCTGTCGGCGTTGGGATTGTTGGCAGTAGTACTGTGCGAAGTAGCAGAAGGCTTGGAGCGCGTTCGGCCAGTACTGTCGTCACTCGTGATGAAGCACCGACAACTATTGTTGTGCTGACTAGCGCGTGCACGGCGGTTGTGGTAGTAGTTGCGATTGTGGTGATGTCTTTCTTCCGTCGTTTTAAGAAAAAAGCAAGCAAACTTGTCGACAAGCGACGTAGTTCGTCTAGTCGTGATGACAGCTCACTTGCTGGCTCTGGAGGTGAGAGGCTGTCAGGACCAATGGAAGCAAGTGAGGCAAAAGTTATAGCAGACATGGATCTTGGCAAGGGCCAGGTGCAGCTTTACAAGAAGCTAGGCGCTCAAGGCCTGTGGCTTGGCGAGTACAAGGACACGCAGGTTGTCGCGCTGAAGTTTGTACCTCGAGAGCTAGACATGTCGACCAAGGAGACAAACGCAGTCCGGATGTCGTACGTCCAGCTTCGACATGACAACATTGTGTACTTCTTGGGGTCGAGCTGGACAGACTGCGAAGAGGTCCTCATCGTGGTGGAGCATATGGAAAAGGGCAGCTTGAGATCAGTGTTAGCCGATACGAAGATTGATCTCACGTGGCCTCAGCGGCTTCAAATGAGCAACGAAATCTGCAGCGGATTGCACTTTGTGCGCTCAATGAAAGGAATCAACTTGTCTCGCAACTTGACGGCCAAGAGTGTGCTCCTTGACGCGCAACTTGTTTGCAAAATGGACATTTTCGACTACGCTTCGAGTTTACGTACCGAGTGGGGACCTGCACGGTCATACGGACACGGAGACATAGCGTCGCGGGCACCGGAATTGCTCAAGGGCGAGGAGATCACTGCTGCAGCCGAAGTGTACGCACTGGGAGTCATTTTCTGCGAAATCTCGTTGCGAAGCAAGCTGTTTAAGCACGTACTCGACGAACGCGGGCCCACTTTGGCTGACATTTTTGTCGCAACCGAGGTAGTTGCACAGCGGTTAAAGCCGTCACCTGCAGAGGATGCTCCTGCTAGTTACCGCGCCTTGACGATCCGATGTCTCAGCTACGAGCCGTCTGAACGGCCGCAGCTGAGCGAGGTCCTGGACATGCTTTCCGCGTGAATGCACAAGGGTGTGTACTACTCGTCATGAGCTGCACTTTGATGTCCATGTGGCCACGGGATGTGATGAACGCGCTGTGCTAGTTGTCGATATGGCAGCGCGCGCTGTGCCGTTGTCATTGCTGCACGACCACTGGAGCTCGGAAGCACCCAGATCTCACTATCAGCCCGAAGCTCTTGTGGCCATCCAGGAGGGAATCTCGCTTGTCTACCATAGCTCTCGATCTTGGCTAGTGGTGGAGAGAACAACCAGCTGAATTGTCTCTTGCCCGAGAATGCAATCAGCACTGGAGCATGAGCAAGCTGGCACTTGGTCGACTCGCCATCGTCTTTGTGCTTCGTGACGGCAACTGTTGCACCGATGTGATCGCTGAGACATACTCGAGCGGCATGACGGCGCAAACGCAGATAGAAACTGTCCCGCCAGGCTTCCACTGGCAACACAAACGTGGGTCAGGTCGCGTTATCCGACAATATCATGACGAAGCACACAAGCACTGCATGTGGGATGGTCATACTTGTTGCCTTGCCGTACTTCGAAGCGTCGTTTCCTGGCTGGCCATTGCTCAACAAAGCCATGTTAGTTCTGTATCGACAGGTAATCTGTGCAGCTACCCCACAACCTTTGCTGTACCTTCAGACCAAGCGACGTGAAGCCAACGCCGTGGACGAGAGGCATTGTGTTTTGCTCGACGATCGTTGCCGTCGGAGGCACAATGCCAGCCCCCAAATGAGGCAAAAGCGTCCCCGTCAGCATCATCCACATTCGATTCGTCGGGTTACTGCATCCATTACAAGAACACTGTGTCAAGTTGAAGCTCTTGCATAGCGCAATACCTGAATGCACGAAGCCTTCTGCGCCAGTCGTTTTTTGGCTACCTGTATGAGTACCCGGTCTTCCACGCATGGTCGGATGGATTGTGACCGACAATCAGCAAACGAAGACGGTGTGCAGGGTAGTGCTCACAATGCTGTGCACGGTCAAAGCAGTCGTCGCAGATGGCGTGCCAACGCTCTTGCCATTTGCTACCAGTGCTTCGCTTTGGAGAACAACATGTGCGCTTCGATGCAGTAGCGCTGCTGGTTTTCTTGTCCCGCCTGGCAGAACCCTTGACGGCAATCGGTTCTGCATCTTCTTCACGGGCTTCGACATCTGGAAGATCCAGTGCCGTCTCGTCGCGTTTGCGCTTGGCATCGAACCGAAATCGATCGAATGGTCCTGCCATGGGAGATGGTATAGCCGACAAGCGGGTAGTAGTCGTGTGTGTGTGTGCTTATATTAATACAAATAGCGTCAAGTCGGTCAGTTTTTTGCCTTCTTGTGCGTGCCTTGTGGTGCGAATGCGACCCTTCACGGAGTACGTGGAGGCAGACGATACCTGCTCGCCGTTAGTGCATCGATGCAGCTCTAAACACTCTGGACATCATGAAGACCACTACGAGCTTTCACGTGTTCAGCAGTTGAAACCGCTTGCGAAAGTGATCAATCGCTGCATCCAGTACTTCCGCTGGCCGGTTGTCGTCAATCTGGCCTGTGAATTGCAGGTAGCTCTTGGCTCCGCCGTATCGATCACACAGAAGCCGCGTGTGCTTTGGCATAAAGAAGTCTTTCTTCGACGCACTGATGAAGACGCAGGGGAGCGTGAACTGTGGCGCTGCATCGAGCAGTCGCACGTCGCGAAAGTCAAACCCTCCAGCTTTGCCAATGGAGCTCGCGAGAATCTTCTGTACTGCCGTGACCATTGCAGATGGAAAGAACAGATTGCGTCGCTCAGCGCTCGTGGAGATCATCTGCAGCATGTCCCAAATGACTTGCTCCATGTCCCCGTACGCGCTATCTGCTGCGAGAGCGAAAATGAAGCCATCGGTTCCAGGTCTGCGAGAAGAGCGTTTCCTGAACCCTTGCAAACGAGCTTTGCCGCCATTTGTCGCGCAGCTCTGCTGAATACGGCCCCAGCACGTCGCTGGGCTCAGCCCTTGCACAGGAACGTTGTCAATCGCGAGCAAGACAAAGTCACCGCTTGCAGCACTGTACTTGCTGAGCCGAAAATGCAGTCCTGTCAACGTAGGAATGCACAGAATGTGACGGGCCTCTTTGTCTTCTACGACACTGAGCCTCCTTGCATCTCGTTTCGAGACCGTCAGCGTCGTATAGCAATACGGCTTTTGCGCTTTCACGTGCAACAGCGCTGCCGCTGATCCAATGTCTCGGCCCCATATACCCACTGCAGATGCCCGCCCCGTGGCGTAGAGGTAGTCCACAACAACCCGCACGTCATCGCGTTCAAAGTACCCAAACGACACATGATCACCGCCTGAGAGCCCAGATCCTGACAAGTCCAGTGCAAATAGCGAGAACCCAGCTGCAAGCACTCTGCGGTGCAAGTACACGCACTCTTTTCTCGAGCTGGACATGCCGTGCAGATAAACGACACACGGTTCCACCACATCCACGAGCGGATGTTGACTGCCATAGCTCGAGCAGCTCGTTCTATCCGTGCTGAGACTGTCTCGCATCGATTCGCCCATCGAGCACTCACTCGACTGCACCTTTTCCTCACTTAGCGGTGACGTCGACGACGCAATCGAGCTCTCCACCTCTACAATTGGGTCAGCACTCGCCACTTCAGCGCGGCGCCAGAAACTGCAAGCGAGTTGCTGGCCACGTCCATTCACGAGGACGAAATCTTCCCGAACAAACGACTGGTGCTCGCTCTGGGCCGTCTGGAGCTCGAACACTGGATCGCCCAGTTCATGAGTCGAGTACGCGGCACGAACGGGACTTGCAATGGACTGCACCATTTCCTCGTAAGTTTCCGAGAAGAGCCTCCACCAGCTTCCGAGACTATTGGCCCGCAGCTCCCGTCTGGTCATCTACAACAAAATCAACCACAACCACAACAATCGCAACAAAGGCGTACCACCAAATGCACGTCGTGCAATCCGACAAAGTTACCGATACAGAGACCGATACAAAAAGAGAGAGAGAGACACGCACACACATATACGTCAATACCGCAAGGGAACCCATGCGATGACGGATCAAGACATGTCACATGTACCTCTGCCTCGAGTTCGCCGTCCTGGAAAATCTCCATCGCGCGCGTGACAGTCGAACGTCCGACAGCAATTTGCAGCCGTTTGCTGCGTTGTGTCGTAATTGCACGTGTTGTTTACTGTATATGGCGCGTGTCGAGCGTGACGTCGCAGCGTCTGAGGACGTGACGGACGATCGGAATGTCAGTGCAGTTTTTTTCTACGGTCTCAAGAAAGGAATGACCTTTCACGGCGCGTTGTTTATAGGTTCGACACAAATAGAGACGGGGCTTTTGGTCCGCGACAGAAAAAGTCGGGGTCTCCTGCTGTTGCACGAAGGTACGTGGACGAAACGTATGAAGGGCTTTAGCAGGCGATCGAGACGACCGGTGCGTGAGCCAAAGGGTTGTTGGACGATTGCAGACGCCGGTCTTTTTATAGTCGAGCGGTCGGGCAGTGACGGTCTCTAATCGCACGACAGGTGCGTCAATTAGGGTCTGGCAGTCGTCGTCGACAATCGCAAGTTCCTGGATGAGATGGGCCCAATTACTTACACCGTTCACGCCTTTGTGCGCACGTGCACTTACTTCTGCAACGTCAGCTTTATAAAAAGAGCGTACGACTTTTGCAACGATCGTGGCTGGACTGTACATGCTGCATTTGTCGTAATTGTTGCAGAAGAATGGCGGGAAATGGTTGTCGAACGCGTGACCAGATCGTCGTTGGCGTGTTCGTTGCATTGGTATTGCGCGGCGTGCAAGTCGTTACGTAGACATGTTACAAAGGACTGGACCACCGTCTAGCCGAAAAGCATAACTGCCTACGCCAGTGCTATTGCATGCTGAACGATAAAGCACCGAATCGTCTCGGCGTGTTCGCGGAAGGAGCTTGGAACGACGGCAAGTGAGCATCTACGAGCTGTACATAGCAGTCCAACACGAAACCAAAGTAGACCACAAGACCGACTCGGTCACTGTTTTGCCGTGATATGCTTATACCTTTTTCTTGGTACGGATCAGGTCTTCAGTAGGTTGATACATGACAATACCATAATCATGACTTGCACGCTTTGACGCAAGGCATGTTCGGGTCGAAGCCTAGCGAGATGACAACGTTTTACACACGACTGGGAAGCAGATGTGCAAGTGGGGCAGCCGAACGCGGATGAGACTCGTGCGTCATCACGTGTGGCCAGCCGGTTCCAATCTGCGAGTGCTGATTGCATCCGATACATCAGACATTGTTCATTCGTTCGCGACTGCTTGTGGTCGTTGCTGTATCCAGGCAGTGGTCACTTTTCCTTCCAGTCCATCGTTGACGCTCCATCACGACCACAAGTCCCTGTGCAAACGCACTGCCAACTGTGTCCATGTAAGCTGACGACCAGCCGCGTTCCAAAGCGTAGAAACTGATCAATAGAATTAGCACGTGTCATAATCAGTCATTTAAAAGTCGCAGAAGTAACGAAAAACGCGAGACCAGTGGCACTAAAGTAAGGAGTAAATCTCAAAACCGGTATCCCTATAAAGTAAGTGCGTGCCACATGACGCCGCTGTCGTCCGAGACAAACCTCCATAAACGCATCCCATGCCACTGACCCGCCTCCAGTTAGTCATCAAATGCCATGGCTACCATTCAATGGACAGCAGCGACCGCGCTCGTGACGTGGGGCGCTCTGTGCGCAACAGTGGGCGCTTGGGTGGGAAAGAACTACGTGCTGGAGCAACGCCAACTGCGCTCGGACGATCCACTGGTCGTCGCCGCGTTGGAGCACGAGATCGAGCGCCAGAAGCAGCTGCGGACGCAGGAACGAAGTGGCCGGACCACTGCCGAGCGAGAAGCACGGGAAGCTCTGCAGCAGCAACAGCAGGCAACGGGGTACTCGCTCGAGGCCATTGCGTACACGGACTCGTGTTTCGCTGATCGACGGGGCACTCCGCGACAAGGGGGTCTCGTGGCGAACGCCCGGGCGCGTATCCAGTTCAACACGAGTATCCCACCGGCATCGCTCGAGTGTCTGGAGCACTTTAGTCACCTGTGGGTGCTGTTTGTCTTCCACGAGAACACAAACTTGACCAAGCGCGCGTCCAAGTCGACGTTCCCAGCCAAGATCGCTCCTCCACGACTTGGGGGCAAGAAGGTCGGGCTCTTCTCCACGCGCACGCCGCATCGGCCAAACGCAGTCGGTCTCTCGGTCGTCAAGATCGAAGCTGTGCATGATCGGTGCATTGAGATCAGTGGCCACGACCTCGTGCATGGCACGCCCGTGCTGGACGTGAAGCCATACGTGCCTGCCGATTGCGTATCGGCGCACGTTGTGCCTGACTGGGTGGCAGCAGACACGGACGTGAGGGCCAGACCTGTCGAGTTCTCACGGGATGCAATGGCGTCATTGACCGACCTTGTCGAGGCCAAGTTGTCGTCGTTTTACTCCGACGTAGCGGACCTGAAGGCTGCCATTGAGCAGATGCTTGTCTTGGACATCCGCAGTGTGCACCAGGGACGCGGACAAGCTGCAGAGACGCAGCAGTTCCAATGCCGCTTTGATAACGTGCTGATCGAGTTCACAACGCTGCACGAGTGCATCCGCGTGCTGAGCTGCACGCGGTATATAACACCGCAGGAGCGATCTCGCCAGAGTCTCAGCTGACATAAGAACATAACGAGAGGCATAGCACATGATGTAGTTGCAAGCAGCTCCGATTCACAATGGCAGGTTACGCCTTCCCCTCCCCCGTCCAAGCGAACGCATGCTACGCCCTACCCACTCGAGTCTTCGCCACCTACATTGCCGACCGCGCAGCGTGTTGTGCCTCCGTGTCCTTGATCTCTTGGTCAAGCTCAATCCATGACTCGTTGAAGAGCTCGCCAGCGATAATACGCTTGGCCATATCCAGCTTCGGCTCCTTGTGTTTCGGATTGTTGCACAAGTCAATCGTCTTGGCCGCGGCCTTGGTCTCGTCGCTGCACCACGATTCACACCAGAGCCACTCCTGTGGCAACGAGAAAATGGGGATCTGGCTTTGCACATAGTTCGGCAAGTCCTGGTCCAGGTTGGCCAGTGAGTTCGGATCGGCACTCAACTGGCTGTAAGTCGCACGCAAAATGTCACCCGCAGCCATCCGGCGGAAGACCGCCAGGTCAACCACATATAGGGCGCTGATGTGGTATGGCTTGCCACGCAAGTGATCTTTCCAGTAGCCTTGACGCCAAAATTGAAAGCCGACGTTGCGAGAGCCACAGAATGGCGTGTAGCCGTAGGGCTTCCCTTCCATATCGAGCTCCAACAGTTCCTTCAGGTCAGCACGCACCACTTGATCAGCATCGACATAAATGACCTTTTGCACGCCTAGCGGAAACAGCACGTCCAGGAAAAGAATCTTGTACCCCCAGATGATGCGCTGCTTCTCCGTCTGCTGACGAAGCCAATTGGGCCACTTGTAAGTAACAAGGCGAATGTCCATGCCGAACTGCTCACGCAGCACTGGAATCGACGCTTTGAAGTCAGGCGATAAGAAGTTCTCAAGCAGCCAGAATGTCACCGGATTATTGGTGCGCTTGAGAACGCTCAACATCATGATCTTAACGAAGCGTTCGTACAGATAACCGGACGCCACCGAAAACACGTGAATGGTCTCTCCGCTGCGCTCGGTTAGTCGAGCGCGGGCGTTACCTGCATCGATAACCTCTGCCAGATTGGTCTTATCGTCCGCAGCTTGACGCTTCTCGTCCAACTCGTTGCCATTCTTGCCCATCATGTTCAGCATCGAGTTCCAGTACGAGCGAAGAGCTCCTTCATCGTTGTCGGTCGGCTCAGCATCTGGTTTGCCTGCCGCAACTGCGTTCTCGTCCACCTGCAGCAACTCGTCGCGCTCCATGCCACTTTTTTTACGAACCAGCAGCTGGACAATGTGAGAGCCAAAATCGTAAACAATGACGGGGTGGGCCTCCAAAGGGAGATCTGTGTGCGGGTCAATAATGTCGAAAAGAGCCGCGGCTCTGCCCTTTGCCAGGCGCAAGGACCAAACGCCGGGCGTCGCCTGAAGCTGGAAGTATCCCAAGTTCTTCATGACAACGGTGTCGCGGTGCAGCAGCTGAGCGCCAGCTTCACGCTCGAGAACCAATTGCAGGCCGTTTGGGGGTGCATACATGTTGAAGGTCTTATCACGGCACTGGCCATACACCAACAGGCTCTCCAATCGAAACACTGCCCTGGTCGTAGATTTCACCGCTGTCAAACTTTCAGGGTCTACCCTCAAGTTGTCCAAGTCGTCACCCGCGTACAGGGTCTGGACATTCCAGGCCTCAGGGGTGTCAATCTTCATGGTGAAGATTGGTTGGACAGGCAATTTGCGAAACTCGACGCTTGTCGCAGCTAGCGATGGCCTCTTTTCAAACAAGTATCGATAGAAGCGTTTCAGCGGGAATTCGGTGTACTCGTCTGCAGGTATCAACACCAGCTCGATAGTGGCATTCAACTGTGAGTGCAGCATCCGGAGCATAGAGCTGATCATCTGTGCTCCCTCGGACAGCGGATCAACATAGGCTGCAACGTGAAGGAATGGGTCTCCAGGAAGCCGGAAGGTGTTCAGAGAATTCTCGTCGATCGTCAGGCGCGACACTCTCTGGGTCTCCACGTACTTGTCAACGATGCCGATCGTTTTCGTGATATCGAAACTCAGTTTGTCAGCAGCTTTGATCGTCATCCTGGCAGTATGCTTGAGAAGTGCCTTGGCCACGGGCTCAGAGCGGTACTTGAGGTCAAAATCCACCATAGTTGCCACGTCTGCATCCGACAATGACTCAGATGGGAGGCTCACTTGCTTTCCGTTGATAAACAAGTGCGGAAGAGCAATCGTAGGAGAACCCTCCTCGAGGTTTACCTCGAATGCAGGTGGAAACCGTGAGTGCAAGAGGTCGCCAAATCGCGAAAGTACCTCGCGCTGCTTCGTGGTCAGCCACCTGCCTATCGTACCGTTCAAGAGCACCAGGACCTTATCATGCACCACATCCTTGCTACCATCTTCTTCCCTCGTCGCTTTCCAAACGTCAAGGAGTTCATTCCGCATCGCATCAGCAGTCATCTGCTTCTCAACACAGTTCAGTGCTTGCAGAATGAACTTGAGGTAAGCTTCACAATCCGAGTTGCCCACTGCGGCAAGAACGGCAGCAGTAAGCTTCCCTGTGTCGCTCATTTGTCGGCCCTTGCCATCGCCGTTCAATCGAGGCACGATGCCAACACGGAGAGACTGCTTGGAATCTTCAAGTACAGCCTTCACGAGTCGATAAGCATGACCGACGTCCCGCTTATTGTCCAGGTCTACTAGAAATATGATGGTCTGCTTTTTCGGCACAGATCTAGAACCAGGCGCGTGCAGGTACGAGATAGCAGACCGAGCTAATACCTCAAGCCGGCCCGTTACGTCGTCAGCAAAAAGATGCTGTTGCGCGCCCGTTTCAACGCCCCCTGGGTGTCCACGCTCCGAACCTTCAAAAATTGACGAGTAAACTGGATATGCGTCTTGAGTCGTCATAAGCTCCTCAATAAGATCCATGTCGTCGTCCAGCATGCCTCGGTGAGCCATGCCAACATACAGTGGCTGGTCGCGGCCGAAGTTGGCCATCGTAGACTGCTGAATGTCCAGGTCGTTGTGGACCACGCCATTAAACACGAATGAACCCAACGGCACGCGCTTCGCGTGTACGAACTCGGTCATGGCTAGCACCTCGTTGTCAAACTGGTCGCTCCTAAGGCACGCCAACGCCTCCTCTTCGTTTATTTCATACGTCCCGATGTTGGCAGTGGCTTCGGCGTAGGCATCTATCAGCTTTTCAACAAGAACGTCAGGGCTTTCAGTTTGAGCAACCCGCTGCATATACGCCGCGGCATACTTTGTAGAGCGTTCGGTGTTTTCTTCTGTTTCGTTCGCGATCTCGTTTTCAGTCTGTGAGTTCTCGTTTTCTTCGCCACGGATCTCAGGTTTAGCCGCATCCTTAGACTGAGCCAGCATCAACAGCTTCGCGAAATGCCAGGGTGTTGCCTTTTCTGTCGCCTTGAACGCTTTGTACTGCTCCAGCAATGTTCGGCGATCATCGGGTGTTCTGCTTGCTATGAGCTCCTTCGAAGATATGAGGAGAGCCCATTGCACAGGTGCGCCACGCATGCGCATATAGCCAACGTGGGACAGCGCTGCACGGCCTAGACCTGTTAGCGGATCAAGAACAAGTACGCATTCGTACATGTTCTTACGAACGAAAATGAGATTCCAGGCGGGCCGTCGGAGCGTGCTTACATCGCGCGGCCAATCGGCATAGTCTTCATCAGTCTCTATGTTGTTCAGGTACAAGGGAGTCGTGCCGCCCGTGGATCCACGCATGTGGATACGAACTACAGGTCGTGCTTGGCTTGTTTCACGCACATTCGTCAGCATTTCTTCCATCTCCATTTGGTTCAGGCGCAAACGGCCAAGTTGCTTGGCCACAGACCACTCATCCTTCAGCGTCTTCATGAAGTCGAACACGTTGAACGAGCGCTCCATCGGGTCTACCGCAATACCGTTCATGATGAACATGTTTGTAAGCCCGTTGCGTGCGACTTGCATACGTGTGGAGGAGATCTCTTCCCGAAGCTGTGTCGAAATTGACTTCCGCGAGAACGCAAGCTTTTTCGCTTGCAGAGGAAAGTCTTGTGAAAGGGTTTCGAGCATCTTCAGCGGATTCTTAGCATCCCCTATCGCACGCACAGCACTTGCACCCAGATCCTTCAAATGCCAGGCCTTCAACTCCTGTTCCTGTTCGCCGTCTGCCTTCTTGACCAAAATGTCGTAGAACTGTTTCAAATCATCAGCAATGGCTTTGTGGCGAGCCATCAGAAGCTTGAACAAAAAACCGTCAACCTCTTCGTCGTCAACGTCGTCTTCCTTCTCGTTTCCCTCCTCGTTGTCTCCTTCGCCGACACGAACCTCGTCATCGTCTTCGATCTTTCTCGAATCATCAATGGTCTTGTACTCCATATTCTTGACATCCAGTGCTACACCGTATCCTTGCAGCAATGTCTCCAACGGCGAGTCACGCGGATAATGACGCACCATGTACTGGATCTTGCTCATTTGTGCTTGCTTGATCAATTTTCCATGGAAGTTATGGAATTTCTCCGTGCCTACGAGACCATAGAGAATTGCCGACACGGGCGCCTTCTTGTCTGACGCAATGTACGGATACTTATGGTCCACCGGCAGTTCGACATCATTCGCACCAGTGGCAACACACGCTTGATTGTTCGACTCTTGCTTTTCGCCATGTAGAATCGCCTCGAGCTCTTCCAAAGAGCAGGCCACAGACTCAACGCAGTGCGGTTCCTGGTAGAACACTGCCCACGTGTCTGCGTCCGCTCCACACGGACGAGCACCTGAATCCAGTCCCAATTGACGAAACGTCTCCACTTTCACCGAGTACGTGCGCGTCGCCAGCATCACCTCCAAGATCTGCCACCATACCAGCAAAAGTGCACGCACAGCATCAGCAAGAGCCCTCCCCTACACACACGTATATAGTGTACACAAAAAGCGGTTGCCTCTACGTTACATTTTTGGAGCCCGGAGCAATGGCCTCAGCGACCGCCACGGCGAGCGTCCCCAGCTCGTCCACATTGTCGCCAATGAGCTTCACGTACGACGCACGCGGTTCAATCTCGTCCAGAAACTGCCAGAAGTACAGTGGATTCTCCTCGGCTAGGAACTCGCTGCACCACAGACAGACAGACAGACAAAAAGTGTTTTGTACACACTGATTAGTAAAACGAAAAAGCAGTCCACACCGCCGCTGCTTTCTATAAAGTGTTTCTCGTGCGTGCCTTGTCTCCAGCAGCGGGAACGACGGCGAGCTGGGCCAGCTGGCGGTCAGGTTCACGTGCACCCCTCGTGCCGACGCTAGCAAGGGCTGCGCTGTCCCCACGAGCGCGGCCACGCCAGTGCTCAGCCACGTCGTGCGCCGCATCCGTCTTGTTGAGATCTGCGTGACGAGCGTCGGTATCCACGTGGACGGGTGGGCGTTACGCACTGTCGTAATCCGCTGTTTGTTGTAGCGGCCACGGTAGACCCCCCTCGCCACCTCTCGTACAGCATACATCGCCCCCTACCTCTCACTTTGCATACCATTCCCGCTCCACTCGCCAGTTCCGAGATCGAGCGCGTGCTCGGGTCCGTCGCTAGTGTCGGCCCTGTCTCCTCGTCCCCCGAGCCACTGTCGAGCCCTCTTGTCGCCGCGATCTGCTTCAACAGCGTCTTGCGTACCCGTTGGTACCACGCGCTCCTTTCTACCGATCGCTTAGCGGCCTGCATCGACCATGAGCAATCCGAATGCCCACCGCAAGATGACGCCCAAGGGCCAAATGAGCTCGAGTGGCATGGGGCCCGCGATCATGCACCTGCCGACGCACCTGAAGGTTCTGTTCGAGCCCAACGCGCCGCTCGAGCACCTCCCACGTCTCGTGAAGCGCAAGATGCCGCCGTACACGGGACTCGCTGGCTTTGCGGACGCCTTTGAGGCAGAGAAACCGCCGCTTCGAGAGGTGCAAGAGACGCCGAAAGAGCGCCGCGATCGGCGTCGACAGGAGAAGATGGCGGCCAATGACGCCAAGATGCTGCAAGATCGAGCCAAGCACGACCCGAACGCGGAGGATCCGAGAAAGACCGAGGACGCGTACAAGACGCTGTTTGTCGGTCGCATTAGCTACGAGACGACAGAGCAGCAGCTGCGACAGGAGTTTGAGCAGTACGGACCGGTGAAGCGCGTGCGCCTCGTGGAAGACCCGGACGGCAAGTCCCGTGGCTACGGCTTTGTCGAGTATGACAAGGAAGCAGACATGAAGGCAGCGTACAAGTACGCCGATGGTAAGAAAATTGATGGGCGACGCGTTGTCGTGGATGTTGAGCGAGGACGCACGGTGCGGGACTGGCTCCCTCGCAAGTTTGGCGGTGGTATTGGTGAAACGCGCAAAGGAGGAGCTGATGTCAACGTCAAGTACTCGGGAAGGGAAGCGATCGGACAGTTTCAGGTAGGTGCGACGCGAGAGGTCGGAGCGTCCCGGTTGGATCGATACGGAGCGCGCGAACCTGCACGGGAGAGTAGTCGGAGCCGTGGACGCGGTGGCGACCATCGGGAACGACGTCGATCTCGATCCAGATCGCGATCCCCGGACCGGCGACGTGGTCGTGACCGCAGTCGTGACCGTGATCGCAGTCGTGACCGTGATCGCAGTCGTGATCGAGACCGCGGTCGCGACCGTGGCCACCGTAGTCGCGATGCCTCGCGTAGGTATTGAACTCAGCTAGGGACGATCGCCGCGCTAAAGGTGGTAGGTGGTGGGTTTGAGAAATCAGGTACATTGCATTAGCGCACGGCCTTTCACTCTTTGTCTCGAGGTAAGGACTTTTCTGCTTATTATGCTGACAAGCATTTGCTGTCTAGAGCATCAGAAGTGGTACGAGTGTGGTCGTGTTCAATGCTTATTGCGTTTCTTTTTCTCTTGACCAGCGTGCGTGTGATTACGTTTGACATCATTGCGACGTTGAGCCGTCTGGTACTGATTGATTGCTAGAAAGTAATGGACATTTGAAGTGCTCGTGACTCGGAACGAAAGAAGCAATTGTCCTTGCTGTTGTGTTGAATCCAGTCCGTTGAGTTTGCATTACTGAATATCCTGAACGCTGAACAGCGCTTTGTCCAACCGACATGCAGTTATTTGGGATCGTCGTGCTTTTGTACCTACTGGTGGCAGTCTACGTGGCGACGTCACAAACTGACACAAGTGACACTGTGCAGAGAACTGGAACTGTTGTTACGGCAGACAATACAGACGGCTTGAGTCGAAAGAAAGCACCTGTGAGGTTGTTGCGACGGCATGGCCACGGCGATGATGACGATGACGACTCAAGTGACGACCACAAGAAAAATGACGACGACGATGATTCGAGTGACGACCACAAGAAAAATGACGACGATGATGATTCGAGTGACGACCGCAAGAGAAACGACGACGATGACGACTCGTGTTAGTTTCTTAGCACCACCTGCGTGTCGAGTTACGCTGATGAACTCCATCGCAAAGTATATAAGATACCATCTGAATTGGCAGCAACATCTACCGAAAGGGTTCTTTGCAAAAAGGCCACGATGAGTTTAGTATCTTATTGTTCAGTATACAGCTCTGTGTGAATCAACAGTCTAAAGCCATCAAATTTGCCCCACAACATGTACTGTAAAGCAGTCGTGTTGGTCCGAAACTGAGCTAGAACCAACATTGCAGCTAACAAATCAGTCCATGTTGCACGTCGTTGTGGTTATTCAGCGCTCGGTGCCGACAACAGTACTTGCTCGGCGTATGTCTACTGCTGTAAATGGATTGATACCCCAATTGTTGACTAATATCTGCATCGTGGAATTGCAAGGGAGTCAACAACAACCAGTCAGTCTAATTCTGCTGTCTGTCTGTTGTAACTCAGACAGCGGACGGAAACAGACGTTCTTGTGATGGACTGGTGTTCTGGACCGGGAAGTAGACACGCTTGATTGGACGCAAATACAATGCAAGCAGCTGATTGGCAGTAGTTGATTGGCTAGCGCTCGTTTTGGCGGATTAAGAGTAGGGGCAGGCGGGAAACTTCACGTCGCAGAAGTCAGTCGACATTGTCCATGACAGATTGGCTGATGTCACTTCAGTCCTTGACAATACCGACATCGAAACTACTTTATGCACCGCTCAACAGACATAGAGGTGTTCAAAGGTTCCCGTCGCCTTTGGTGCGCAACGGATTGGAACATGTGTCGCCAACGCCCTCTTTATCTTTCTAGTGTAACATGCGCCATCCATCATGACAGATTGAGGGCCTGCATCTACCGCAAGCCGCAACAAGTGAAGCTCACAGTTCGATCGTTCGCACAGTTGCGCCCCTTTTTCACTGCCGCTTGTCCTCGCAGCTTCCTTCCTTCTGTCTGTATTAAACTCACGGCTTGCTTTCACACGTGTCACCTCCTGTCGTTGTGTATCGCAACAGCTGCGTGGTTGTTGATGGTAAAGATACGTATCTTGACGTTGCGGTATGTCGGTCGCTACCATTCGCTGGGCATTCATCAGGTAACGATACAGATTTCCCAGATGCTGTAAGACAGCCGACTAAATGGTGCTCCTGTTCATTGAAGCGTGTCTGTGTGTCCCGACCCCTACGAAAGATTTTTTGAATAGACGTGACTGTACTACGCGTGCATTCTACTTGGTTTATCCTGCAATATTTGAATTGACGTGGATAGAATGTGACACCGCTGCTACCATATAAACATTAGGTATAATGGATAGGCGCGCGGTGTATTTAGCCATAATGCTAGGTGTATTTAGCCTCTCCCCGGTAAGCGGATCGAGACAGTCCAGTCGTCAAAGCGTGCGACGTGCATCATCCTGTAGTCGGCATCAACCGGCCCCTTCACCATTTAGATGACTCACTGCAGCACGGACAAAGACTGCGATCATTGATCACTTCCACTGCTTGTAGCACTCAACCGGCCTGTGCACTGATTGTCTGCTGCCACACGCACTGCACTAGAACCCGATCGTTGCCGAGGCTTCTTGCACATTTGTCAGCTGTTACATCACGACCGGCAGCTTCTTCTGGACCCTTTTACGCCGCGTTCTCAAGCACGAGCGCAATGCCTTGGCCCCCACCAATACACGCGGCTCCGACTGCGTATCTCTTGCCCGTCCGCTTCAGTGCGTGCACGAGATGCGCCGTAATACGACTGCCCGACGCGCCCAGCGGGTGGCCAAGCGCAATCGCACCGCCACTTTGGTTCACAATCTCAGGATCGAGCTCGAGCTCCTTGACGCAAGCGAGCCATTGCGCTGCAAAGGCCTCGTTAATGTCGTACATGTCAATATCCGACTTGTTGAGCCCCGCGCGCTTCAGTGCGCCCGTGATCGCCGGCACAGGCCCAATGCCCATGATCTTTGGGTCGACGCCCGACACCTGGTAGCTCACGACGCGCGCCAGCGGCTCGAGCCCGTGCTGCTTCACGGCCCCTTCGCTCGCCAAGAGCACTGCGCCCGCGCCGTCGGCAATGCCCGACGCATTGCCTGCCGTCACGACGCCGTCCGGCTTGAACACGGGCTTGAGCTTCGCCAGCTTCGCCCTGTCGACAACGCGCGGGGCCTCGTCGACCGCAAACGTCTCCGTGCGGCGCCCCACTTGGACCTCGAGCGGCGCCACTTCGGCCTCGAGCCATCCGCTGGCGTGCGCGTGGGCCCAGCGCGTCTGACTCTGCAGCCCCATTGCGTCGCAGGCCTCGCGACTAATGCCGTACTGCGCGGCCAAGTGCTCGGCCGTCATGCCCATGGCCGTCTGCACGTACGAGTCCGTGAGCGCAGCCCACAACGTGTCCTGCAAGTGGAGTCCAGCGCCGAGCGAAACGCCAAAGCGCGCGTCGTGGCCGTACACGGCCATGGGGCTCTGCGACATGTTCTCGGCCCCGCCACAGAGCGCAATCTCCGCGTGGCCCAGCAGCACTTCGTGCAGACCGCCGACCACCGACTGGAACCCGCTGCCGCACAGGCGGTTGACCGTGAGCGCCGGTTTGTCCTGCGGCACGTCGGCCTTGAGCTGCACGTGCCGGGCAATGTACGCGCCGTCGGGGGACGTGGCCGCGACGTTGCCCACTTGGACCGTGTCCACGAGCGCGGGGTCGAGCGCCGCGGCGGCGAGCGTCGCCCGTGCCGCGTGCGCACAGAGGTCCGTGGCGGTTATGTGTTTCAGTGTGCCGCCAAAGCTGCCAAAGGGCGTGCGCTTGGCGGCGACGACGTAGACGGTCTTGAGGACCATCACTCTCGCGATGGGGGCGCGACGTTGAAGATTGCAGAGTGCGGCACGGAAAGAGAAAGCGAGAGTCCGGGCACGGGGTGGGGGTGGCGACCGGGTAGTCACGTGCAAAGGCGGACCAGGGTGGAGTAAGTACGCTGCGCGGCACGCACTTTGCGGTCGTTTGGCGTTTGGGCAAAAAGGGTCTGTTTCTCCAGGACGAAAAAATGGACCCCTGGGAGCCGAAAAAAGGAGCGCAAAGCGAGATTGGGCTGAATGAGCGGCTGGCTGTTTGTGCCCGTTTGGAAACGCTGGAGAGGTGTGAACGAAAAAGTATCTTTCAATCGGTAATGCTGCCCCGCAAGGCAGCAGGTGATGCTTGTGTGAGTTTGTTTGTTTGTTTGTTTGTTTGTGTGTTTGTTTGCTCGTCGTTGCGGTCGTGGGTTTCCTAAATACTTTCTTCATACGACGTCAACTTCGCGGGAGGTTCCAATGGCGGGTCCAAGTAATCAAACGACTCGCGACGTCGCTTGCGGCCAAAGTTCGAGCGCTTGGTCTGCCATACACGGGCAAGCTTGTTGAACTTGAAAAGCCTGCTCGTTTCCATACCGTCGGTGCTGAACGCACGAGCGTAGTTTGCTTGGGTGAACACAGCACCGCTGGGCACGGCAGTTGCAGGAATCGACAAGATGTCGCGCGCGAGTTTCGCCAGCGTGGGAAATCGCGTCTCGTTCGACTTCCACCACATGAACGGGTCTGACCGCTTGTCACGGATAAGCGTTGCGTCAAAGAACCGGTCCACTTCGTCGCCATCGATTGCGTAATCGGGCATACCCTCGCCAATGTCCAACAGCTTTTCAAACGTCGTGTACGCAGTTGAGGCGTCATGTCGCGCTTGGTCGTCGTCCAGTCTTGCGTCCGATAGAGCGTCGTAGACACTGGTGCGGAGCATGTCGCGCAGAAATGTCTTCTTCGATGACTTGTCCACAGACTCGTTTGAAAACCGGGGATCCAGGATTTTTGCCAGATGAAAGTAAGGTGACGAGTGCTCCGTGTGGTACGATCCGAGGCTGGATTTGACGTTCAAGCACACTTTTTGGACCTTCGTAAAGGCACTCGCCGTGAAGTCGGAAGCTGACGCGGCGGTGCTCTCGCACAGCCCCACGATCGCCTTGCAGACATTGATGGAGGTGCTCAGCGAAATGTGTTTCTGGTCACTCTGACACGTGGCCATCTGCATGCACTTTTGCAGAAAAGTGGCCGCCCATACTAGCAGATCCCACTCAATCTCCTCCAGCAGGAAAATGCTCATACTATTTGATGCATCGCCATACAATGCGTTGATGGTGTCCTTGATCTTGGCGCTCTCCAAGATCATCGTGATCGTCGTTTTCCAATCCTTGGGCGAGTCTATATTGGGAAGCTGGTCAGGGTACTGCAGCCCCACTTCGGTCGTACGCAGCGCAAAGTGTTCTTGACTTTCAGTTGTGGACTTCAGCAGCGACAGCAACGAACGTAGCTTTACAATTTCGTGGCGAATTTCCTTAAGCGCCGCTAGTACGCCCGTATGAATGAGATGGCCCAAGCATGTCACATTCCAGTCCGGGGAGATGTTATCTAATCCTATAATTCCTTTAATCTTTTCACGCAGGAAGCCCATACCGACCCCGGACTCATTGCCCATTGGTGTCACACCGCAGAGCAATTTGTTGCCAATGCCCCAGTTGTTCTGAAGCACATTGAACAGCAAGTCCGACATGAAATACGCGTTACACTCGGGTGGGCAACCTTCCAGCCCAACCTGAATAGTTTTATACTCCCACTCGGCGTTGATCCAGTGCAGATAAATAGCCATGTATCCTTTATGTACTAGCCCCGACCACGTGTCACACGAAAATGTGATACGCCCGACCGCAGAACGATTGATGTACTCGCCCACACGCGTAAAGAGCGCGTAGTACTTGCGCTCCATTGCTTTCTGCAGTACATCCAAAGGCGGAATCACAGCCTTGATGCCAGCAACAGCTAGCACGTCCAGAAACCGTTCTTGCTGCACCACGCCAATGTCTTGCTCATCGTCGACGATCCACTCAATCAACGCGCTGCTCAAATTGCGCAACCGCTGGCGTTTCATGCCTGCGTTCGTTACACTGCGTCAAAACACGTCTCATGTTCAAGCCACTCCTTGCCACCCATTCGTACCTGCCGCATGCTCGTCCGGGTGCACCTCTGCTGTCGTCTCTTTCTTCACAGCCATGGCCTTCTTCGGTGCGACACTAGCTGTTTCGACCACAGCTGCTTCACCGCCATTGACCATTACTCCATTTGCACTCTTTTTGCCCTTCTTGCCCGCACAAGCGGTGCCTTGCGGGAACTCTGTATGTCGCTTCGCATGTCGCATCATTGACGACGTGCCGTGTCTCGTGCTAAAGACCTTGTTGCACACCGAGCACTTGGCCGAATCAATCAGTCCGTCTCGTAATCCACTGCTCGAAATGGGCGTAAACGTCTTCCACACGATACTCGTGAGCTTCTTCCTGCGGATCGTCTCCTCCTCGAACGTTGGCATCGCGTCCACAGGCTTAAGCGATAGCTCCGTGACGGAATCACCGCTGTCTACTACCTCTTCGTGCTGCGCAAGAGTGCCTGCGCCTTCCCAGCTGCCCTCCACTGTGGTCCAGACGCCGGCGTCGCTGCCCTCGGCGCCGCGCTTGCTCCCGCCTTGGATACGCTGAAGTACGAAGTGCAACATACACGGACAAGACAGTCGATGATTCACGAACAACATGGCGGTAATTAGTCATGAGATGAACGAGTGCAGTAGGAGAGAGACGCAGCGACGCACGCGACACTTGGACGCGACCAAGCGAGCGATGTACTTGTGCGTTTGGGCGGCTTTGGGACGAATTGAGCACGTTGATTGGATGAAATACGGGTCAGACGAGTAGCATGCTCGAAGCCCCGAAACGGGTTGAGTGGCTGCCCAGGCTCGACCCGTCTAGCTCCTCAGGCTCAACCCGAGACGCAGCCACACACGTGCAACCTCGTGAGGTGGGGCCGCCATACCGGTTAAACCGATGTGGGCCGCAAGCCTTTCGACGCGCTTTGTCAGTTCTGTCGACCGGACTGTGCAAACAAACTCCAGCCATCTTTGCAAAGAAACTCTGATGTCGTTTATCGGCACAAAGGCACTTGCCAAGTTGACATGCAAAGACGTGGCGTGCGTACTGAACGACTGATTATAACGCTTGCGTCCGACACAATTTCTTTGCTCAATACCTTAGCGGGTCAAGCGATCTCTGGCGGTAGAGTTCCTCTTTCTGTTTGAGTGCTCGATCCCATCCCTAGATATACCTCACCCGCTGTCTTTCTTTCTTTCTCTTCTTCTCTCATCCAGAACTTGTCAGTTTAGCCACAGTGATTCCTAGCACGCGTGCATGTAGTCAGTGCAACAGTCAAACTCTATCCTTGGGGCACTGCCGAAGTGTGCGGAACGCTTCTATAAGGATTGCACGATGATTCCGAGCTACATGTTACACAACGTGCAGTTTGGGTTTTCGGTATCTGTTTGCTCCTCCTATCCAAAACATTCTCCTGGAGCGATAACAATAGGGTGAAGATAAGTCGTGGCTATTGCAAACGGCTATCAGTTCTTTCGATCATATCACACAAAAAAGTCAAGACAATGAGGGCGAGAGACGACATCATCCTATCCACGTCATCTGGCACTTTGGGGTGACAAGTAGATACTGCAGCTTGGTCCATCGAGCGCGATGGGACGTCAGTTCTTCACATACCTGAGGTCGACCTTGATCGCTATCGCAACGGCAACACGATCCCCTACTCTCGCATTAGCAAATTCTAGGATGCACATGGCCCGTCTATGCCTTTTGCTGTCGCCGCTCTCGATGAGACTCATGGCGCGGCAGCCTCACTGTATCAGGAAGACCAGACGAGTGTATTTCCTACGTAGCAAATCGTGTGACTTCGCCGACGCGGACGCCGATGATAATACATCGATCGATAGTGGCCGGGTAAACACCTTTGTTTCTTTCCAATGCGGCTTACTTGGCCTCATATGCAGCCCAAAAGCTATTGGACTCGTTGCAGCACAAAGTTGTACGGTATGCTTGCATGGAAACGGTCGAGAAAGTGTCGCGGCATGGAGAAAGTCAGTCCGCGCGATCATACGGGTGATACACATTGCAATTGTAGCTACAAACCCGAGCGGTAGGTACAGCCGCTAACTGAGTACGTCCACCACGACTTGCAGTCGACCTCATGCGATGCTGATCCACACCCTGATGATCCATGGCAGCATAGCAGAGAGCTGCACCATTCGTCGCGCAGATGGATCAATAAAGACAAACGGCAGAGTAGCGTCGGGGATAAACGGTAGAACAGCGTCGTGAACGACATCTCGTTACAATTTATCGTACGATATCCCCGATTCGTACCATGCATGCAGAGCTAGGTCGACGTGTGTCAGCAACAAGCATAAGCAACGCATCCAAGAGTCTGCACGGCTGTCTCGAGCGCTCACGACGCTTTCTCCATCAGATGAATGGGCTTCAGGATCGAGATCTTGTTGGTTTCCACAATGTATCCATTCATGACCATCTCGTCCAGAATAAAGTGTGCCTTCTCCAAGTTGAACATGATCTACAGACCGTATTGTGCCACACACAGCAACCAACAACACAATAAGTCCACCATAGAGCATCTCGAAGAAAAGCAGCCACAAGGTACGAAGGCATAGCACAGCATGTACGTACGTCAAGTTCACACTGCAAGCCACAGCACATCCAACATGACGGGATCCCGTACACACAAAGAGAGCACAGTCAACAACAGACACCCACTGCACCCAAACGCTCCCACAACTTGCAGTCGTCTACGGCACGTACCACACTTTCAAAGTACTTGTCCATCGTCTCCACGAGCGCATGGATGAACTCGAGGATACCGAGTTCGTTCTGTACCCATTCCCGCCGCATCGTGAGTACACGCATCAAAATACCGCCAGTAGACTTACAAAAGAACCGTGCAGCGACGGTACGACCCGTCTGTCAAGCCACTCACCTCCGAGTCGTCGTCTTTGACCCCGACAATGAAAAACAGCGACGCGTATCGTCGGTAGATAACCTTATAGCCCCGGTATTCGACAAACGAGCACTGTCGAGGCAAAGGTAGAGCACACGGTATACTGGTTGAGTCCATGTCCCGATCGATATACCGATATACCGATACATGTCGCCTCACTGCGGTACAAAAAAACGCACCTGCGATTCGTTACGGCCGAGACACTTGCGGATTATCTCGGCCTCGAGCGCCACGCGCTCCTGAATGGACAGGAAGTCGTAGTACTGCGCCAGTCGCGTCTGGCCTTGTTTGTTGACCATCAAGACGAACTTGATCATGCTCGCTACTCGTGTGGTATGACCAAACGGAGGAGAGGTAGGGCGGGCGACGCGAGGAAAGTCGCGCACTGCGTGACGATTACGACGAACCGTCTGCCGTTTGTAGTGTGGTGCACATGGAATTGGGACGTCAACCGGTGTGGAAGCCACATGGTGAACAAGGCTACCGATCTGGAAAAAAGTCGAATAGAAAAAGTGCTGTCAAAGCTGCGCCGCTCCTAGAAAGAGTGAGGTGCGCCCCTTGTGCTCTTTCTACATTGGAACCCTAGCGATTCATAGACCATTGGCACAGTCTGCTCTTGTACCCATGTCGAGATTCAGGTCATCCTGGTCCTTTTTACCGTCGCGTGTTGCCAACAAGATGCCAAACGCGTCGTGTTCGAACGATCGTACGATCTCGAAACGAAGTTACCTCGTGCGACTCGATGACGAATCTCTGCGTGTCCAGTTGTCCATCACAGACAGACAAACAGACGACCGCGTGATGTTCTCGTCCGTCGACGTCCGCAGGTCACAATGTCGGAGTCCTGAACAAAGTCATGCAGCTGTTTTTGCAAAAAGCAGACTTAGCTGGTCGAGCAGAATGCGCTGTTGGCGCGGAGGAAGCCGATCGTAGCGTACCTTGATCGGTGCACGAGTATACCCGGGCCGAGTCTCTTGTTGCGGCATGGCCAATGGCAGTTGATCATCTCGCCAGCTCCTTGGCCCGCATCCGCGTGCTTCTTCTCGTTGTACATGTCTTGTAGACCAAAAGTGAGTGCACAGCTGGGGATCTCTCGGGCGCAGCGTCATGAGAACCACTTTTGGCGCAACTTGTCCATACGACAAATCACGAATGACCGGTCTCTCTTCACGAATGATATGTCTCTCTTCTGCGTACACTTTTCTCATGGACGGGAAAATCAACACTGCCTCCGCAGGATTGTGGCCATGACCAGCTTCCTTGACGCTGACCTCCCGACGGTTTGTGTTTGCTAGAAACTCGTCTGTTCTTCACTGAGCGTGGTCGTTGTTTCGAGTTCGTCCTGGTCGGGACTGTGAACCTCGTACAGGGGAGCTGCATCGGGAGGACTGTATCTTGTAAGCAAGTGTTCGCAGACTTTCGCTTTGCTGAGTCTCTGCCCATGTTGATGTCGTCCCATTCTAGACCGCCTCCGCCTGCATCCACTGTGGTGACAATCACAAACGGTCCTGCTTATTCTGTCGCTGTGAACAATGTAGTCGCCACGATCGAGCTGCTGCTGTCATGCATCAAGTACATGCGGCAACAAAAACGAATACAGAGAGATCAGCCACCAAACATCACCTTGTTGCCTCTATCAGGGTATCAACAACCGCCATGCTGAAAGCGAGTGGGAAACTCGCTTGCGTCAGGTAATCGCTTGCTTCTCCTGGATGCTATTCACCATCCAACCAGACCGTCTGATCATCGAGATTGAGTCTAGCCCAGCAACGCCTTCAGCGTATGTGCATGTCTGCCTTGACGAGAGCTGATACCGAGTCCGTTGCATACGTCGCACAGCTAAGCGGCATGCGTGTGTGCGATAAACACCAGCGGCAGTACGGGCCTTTGCCCGCAAGGAGCTGCCATCGCAAGTCTTATGACGCATGTACTCGCTTGTTAAACTCTGTTGTGTGCGTACAGTCTCCACCAAGTCTCGAACTTTGACTGACCAAAAGCGGCTGAGCCACAAAGCCATATGTAACGTGTCATCCAAATTGCGACCTGTGGAGCGAGCAAACGGCTCTTGACACACACCATCTTTGCTGCAAGTTCTGCTTGAGCAAAGCCTACGCACTTGCGTGGATTTACCTCCATCATCGAGTCGGCGCAAAACGGGTGCGCAAAGACTGCCTGGACTCAGCACCGGATTTTGCACCTCTTACGTGAGTCATATCGTGGCTGAATCCGAAGCGCTGCCAGCCTCCGTCTGACTCGACAAGCAATCGATCTACCGTTCATCAGTCCATACATGTCGACATGTACCCATTTTCGACTCCAGCAAGCGGACAGAAGTCGTAGATCATCAAGCTTCGCACATGCCAACACCACATGTTCGTATCCAGAGTCCATGGCAAGCTCACAGGTTCGTTCTAGCGCTACAACACAGGTTCAACCCTCAACGTCAGAAGGCCCAGTTTTTCTTGCTGCGCGTTGTCGAGGATCTCGGGGCTTAGCACGTCCTGACCCATTGGTTGTTGGCTGAGGAAACGCGGAAGCAGCATTTCCAGGGTACGGTCTTGTAGCTTGCACGGGAGCAGAGTGGAAGGCCGGAGCAGGACCGCGAGGGACAGGATATCCCGGAGCGGATTGCGGAGGGGCACCTGCTGCAGGAGGTCTTCCTTCGCAATGCATTGCCACGCTCATGGGCGTATGCTGACCATATTCACCGGGCGCAGGTTGCCTTGGGTATTGCGAACCCTGCCCGAATTGCTGATGTGACGCGTATGGCTGCATTGGCGCTCCTCGACGCCGTCCTCGATGACCACGACCTCCCCTTTGACCATTCCATCGCCCTCCACGCATTCCGTCATTCTCTCGTCCTCTTTCGTTCCAGCTCTTACCTGATGGTGCGTATGGTACATGAAAGTCAGGTGGCATTGCCTGAGTTGCGTCAGGTTGCCTTTGGCGTTGATACTGCGAGCTTCTTGGTACCCCTGCTACATGACTCCTTCCTGTCTCAGCAGGTTGCTCCAGCGGCTCCAGTTTAAGCAGATTGCAATGTGGGCTTTCCACATGAACAATACATTGCCGATTGTACGCATGGTCCAACAGAGCCGACCAAGGCTTCGAGGAGCGCAAAGTCTTCTCTTTGCCGATCACATAGCATGCAAACTTTGCTCGAGTAAGCGCCACATTCATTCGCCGGATGTCGTTCAAGAAACCAACACCAGCTTTCGGGTCAGCTCGCACGGTGGACACTGCCTCGCACCAAACGTTACGGTTAGCTTCATTAGTTCTCAATCTTCCATTGACCCATACGCTTCGGCAAGACATATGCAGAAAAGAATCAACGTACAGATAATTATGTCCTTTTCGCGTCCTTGGAAACCGTCGACAGTATTGATCTCCACCTCTTGCTCGTAGCGCTCGCCCAAAGCGCGGCGAAATCGATTCCTCAGCTCTTCCATTTGCTGGCTGTACGGCGTAATCATACCAACCTTGCCGGCAATCGAGTCAGAAGGGCAAGAGTTTCGCAACGTGAGGTACAAATTCACTGCCAGCTCCGCTTCACCGACATTCATGCGTGACACTGATTTAGTTGCTTTTTCGCGACTGCTGAGTAGGTTCCAGAACACCAGCGGCATGAACGCGGGGCCAAGATTGTGGTACGGCTTCGCGTAGTCGCCACCCTTCACATTGTCTCCATCTTGAAGCTTTCCATCGTAAAAGTAGTTTCTAGGAAAGTCTGAAATCATCGGGTGACTGAACACACAACAGGGGACAACACTCGAGTTAGCAAGCAACTCCAAGCAAACACAACGGTGATCATACCTTCGGTACTGCGTTCGCAGCATATGCACGGGATGTTCACAGCTTTCCAGTCGCTCAAACAAACTTCGCTCATACAGAGACTGACCGCTGTTTCGGGAAAAAACTGTGGCTGAAAGCTGTTGCGGGTCGCCAACCAGCACACACTGCTTGCTGCCAAATCTAACATCAAGCAATGCGAACGGTGCTTGTAAGCCAAAGTGCGAATGGCATAAGCAAGTACAGTACGTACTTCATCGGAATGATGGTAGATAGTTCAACAGCCTGAGCTGCTTCATCGACGACCAGCACATCGTATCTGGCACTAGCATCTAGCGCAGCAACACCCGCACTGTTGAGCGTGGTGAACACAATGTGTGCCGTATCCAGAAATGAAACTTCCAAAGATTGCCGCGTCGATTGCGACAGTTTGCCCCTCATTTCACTGACTGCTTGTCGAGCAAACTGGTGCCGCTGTAACTCCAGCTTGACCTGGCCAAGAAACAAAACCGCCGTCAGTCACGTAAAAATAGACGTAAGCACAATATACGTACTTCGGCAAGCTTTTCCAAACACCCGTTGATTCGCTGGGCCATGGCCACATAAGGATGATACCTTGAGTAGTCGATGAGGTCCCACCCCTTCGTATCCATTGTATCAGGAGTAGTTGGTGGAGGTGGACGTGGAGACTGCGATATAACAACGGCCGGAGACAACGGCCGGTGTCGACCGTCAGAAAGATCGTCTGGCGGTGGTAGTAACGGAGGAGGTGGAGGCAGCGATGGCACGGGTGACAATGGAGATGGAGGCGGCGATGACGGGAACGAGCTACGGGGGGAGTCCACCACTTCATGATGTTGACTTCCGTTTGGCTGCCCCGTCAAGAATAACAGCTCCTCGTCCTGCTTGCGATATTCGGCGCTTGGTTCTTGTCCTGGTAAGGGTTCGTCCTGATCAGGCGTGTCGTCACTGCTGTCATCGTCGACTACAATAGGATCACTAGCTGACGATGCGGCTGCACGATCGTTGTGACACTTCTTTTCATCGTTTTCACCAGACATTCCAGTATCTGTCTGCAAACGGGAGGCAGAAGATAACGACTTGCCACGCTCCTCCTGGTCTTGACTTTTATCGGCACTCGCTCCACCCGGGAGCGGTTCATCTTCTTCAGAATTACTGCCATCATCCAGAAACGCGTCCAAAGCCTGTCCACTCGCTCGAGCATTAAACATCTCGTGTTGCTCATCCCACACCGGCGGTGGAGCTCCAAACGAAGCAGGAAATGCCTCATCTTCTTCCTCTTCTTCCGGCATATCGATATCGTCTCCTCTGATATCGACGGTATCACAACCAGGGTCAACTACTGCGCTTGCGTCTTCTGGACAAGAACGCCCAGTAGCGGGTCTAGAAGCTGGGGGAGAGGGAGGCGGCGGAGGGGAAGTCGGATATAGTGATACTTGTCGGGACGGCGGCAGAGGTGGTGGCGATACGAGGTCAGCAGTAGAAGAGGAAGGCATTTCTTGTGGCTGTGGAAGCGGAGGGAGTTGCGGCAACGAAGCCGAAACAAGTGCGGATGCTGCAGGCTTGTTTCGCTGCGCTTCCGCTTGAGCGATCTCTTCCAACGCCTTCACCGGATCGTGCTCGATCCAAGCAACGATATCCCGCAACTGATCTCGTAGCATAAGCGAGTCACGCTCCACCTTGACAATCGACAGCACGTCATAATCTTCACCGAACGACACTACCGCTACAAACGCATTGTACGTACCACCACCAGCTCGTGCCGCAAGCGATTGATTTGGCCCTCAAGCACATCAAGTGGTTGGCTACAAATTTGGTCGACTTGGTTTTCCAAGCCAACGCTTTGCACATTTGCACTCTATGGAATAAAATGAAACATAGAGAAAAAGATGTCAGGGACCACGCATACTACACATGTCGGGAACAGCAAACGTACCAAGCCTCGTCCAACGCGAACGATTTTAGGAAAGTACCGTCGTCCTTCGCCATCACAAAATCCCTCTTCGATCACCTTGCTAACGATGTTGTCGACAGCAGCATTGGATGGCGCGGTAACTAGAATGTGGGGCTTTTCATTTCCCACCTGCGCCCATGCTTTTGCGGTCTCATTATCCGGACGACGCGCCACATCTAGTACGGCGTTGTAATACCGATTGTACTCGCGCAAATGCAATGAGTTGAGCAGGCCTTTGAGCGTTGTGGTTTTGCCTGTGCCTGGAGGACCTTTTATCAAAGTGAACCCTTCTGATGTTGCGGCTGCTGTAATGGCTTCTCGTTGCGAGTCGTTGAAAGTTCTCGAGAGCCATTGGACATACTTAAGCCCAAGTGAATCAAGCTGCATATTCTCTTGCTTGTGCTTGCCTGACAATAGCAGCGGTAGCAGCCCGTAATGACTACAGTCACAAAGCGCACGGAACTCGCGGACGCTGGTGACCAGGTTATTGAGCTTGAACAGATAGGTGCTCTTCTCTTTCTCCAATGCTCCCCATCCGGATCTCAAGATGGTCATAGTCAGCCCCTCTTTTGACGCTCTCTGGGTTGCCACAATTGCCAGGAACCCAACAGGAGGACCCGTTGCGGCTTCCTTATTTGCTTCGCCCTTCTTACCATGGCCACCTCTCAACGGGGCCAAAGCTGTACGGAAATAGCCTGCATCTGGTGAGATAAGCACCAGATCGTTCGCATAGAACTCGGAGAGCGGATGGCGCCGCATACCCGACGCGTTTTGCTTCCTCAGGTCTACACGAACCTTGCAGCTCTTAGAGATGAATGTCGCTCCAAAACCTTTTACAGTGACCGAGATCGGGCTAGGATTATCCGTCGTGACGGCGTTGATTGTCTGCGCTTGTACTTCTTCCAGCGCGAGCGGTTTCCATACCGAAAAGTAGTGCTCGTACGACCGAAACTTGCTCGGTACTTGCTCAACGTCACCCTTCTCAGATCCTTCGTTCGTCGCGTCTGTACCATGTGAATGACTGCCCTGTGCTTCTTGCCTCAACGCCTCGAAAAAACTCCACTCCAGTATTTCGTCAAAAAAGTTGTCCAGTGTATAATTCGATGGCACACCGCTGTGCGATACCGTGGTCTGTTGCACCACGCGGTCATCTTTTATATGCACAGTGGCACGCTTCTGCTGCTTCATCGGCCGTCGATGTGTATCCGACGTTTTGTCCTTTTCTTTCATCGACTTGGTCATAGGTCCATGCCGGTTCGCCTCAGTCTTGACCTCATCGGTAGAACGCTTCGTAGCTGGTATACTCGTCTTGTGTCCCTTCCGTAGAGGCGGCGCATTTGACAGCGCTTTGACCGGACGTTTGACTCTCTTCATCTTTTTCATTTTCGACCGACGTCCAGTAGTCTTCTTCTCCTGATCAGAGCTGTCACTGTCCAAGACCTTTCTCTTGTTCACTCGAACACGCCGCTTGGTCGTTTCTTCTTCTTCCTCCGACGACGACGTCAAGTCTGACGATTCCCCATCTTCCTCATCGTCGGCGGCGGCGGCTGTTCCATCGGGTTTCCACTCGTCATCTGACTCTTCTGTACCCTACAGCAGACACGGTCACGAAAGAAAGAGAGAAGAAGAAAACGCAGTAAGTAAAAGGACACATCTCAGCTTCCACCTCGTTCTGACTATCGTTCTCTATGCTTCTAGTCCATATACTCTTTTGCTTCCCACTGCAAAAAGAGAAGCGTATCTATCGACGCAAAGGTGCTCTTAAGTTGCTCTAGCACGGACCTGACGCACAAGTTGCGCATGTTGTGCAATCAATTTCGACATGCGCGGGGCTCGGCCCGTCGACGCGGCCTCGAGTCGCGTCGAGCGTCGCATCGCGACGGGTGTTCAGCACAGTCGAGCAAGAAAAGGATACGCAGATGGGTACAGTCTTTGCCCCTTGTCGACGGCGTCTTAACCGAGCGCACAAACTGAGCTACACGAGGACGACAGACTACCCGAAGAGACAAAGGTCGCAGATGGCTACAATCTGTCCACGTGCTTTCTTCTCCAGCGCCTGCAGTGGTCGTTTTCTTTCCTCTTTTTTGCTGCCGGTTCTTCCTGAGTGGCAGAGCGCGTGCGGACTCGACGACGCAAATGAGCAAATGAAGGCGAGACAAGCGATGCAAAAGCTGCGTTTAATGATAATATTTTATTTAGTCCGTTGCTCGACTTATTTTTTTCTCTCTCGATCGGGTGACCTCAAGTAGCAACTACTTCTGTCGCAAGCAAAGAATTTAGGCAGGTGTTTCTAAATCTAGCAGCAACAAGGATGCGCCGCGGGGGCTAGTTTTGCATGGTGTTTCTGACACGAGCGAGAATACCCCAAAACGTTCATTGCTGCGATGATTCAAACGAAGCTTCCTGATTTAGAACCGACGCACGACCTGCTTTCGTGTGCTGACCGGTCAGTCTCTGTTCGCTTACACTGCTTTTGCGTCACGTTTGCTGCTGCAAAGCGGCAGTGATCGGCAGCACTGCTCAAAACGTAACGACGAAAGCCTGTCGTTGTCGTCAGTGTACTGCATATTAGACTGCATGCGACGTTTTTGCGAGTATGATACACCACTCAGCGCGACTGTCTTCGGACGCTGATCGATAGGTTGTTGCTGGGGCACGCTTCCATGTCATTGCCATGCGGCAGTGGCATGCCATTCGCGCGGCTGTTCATCTTCTCCCGAACTTGTTCCTGTTTGATCGTGCGAAGGTAATTAGGCGACTTCAAGTACTTGTTGGATGTGCGAGCACCCGTGACCCACGGATGTGCTAGCGTTTGCTCTGCCGAGTATCGATTGGCTGAGTTCACCTCTGCCAGACAGCGAAGAGCAAATGAGCACGAGTCGTTTGATCCCATCAGAAAATGAGCTGCTGCTGTACATACCAAGCAGTTGTCGGAGTAAATCTTTTGCACTCTCTGATAAACCATTCGCCCAACGAGGAAAGCGGAGACCAAACCTTGCCTGCATAAACACAACGAATGAGTGACTTGTTGACATCGACGTGGTCTCTAGCACGTCTGCCAATGACCGCGCCACCTACCCGAGCTGCTTTGTCGTTGGCAATTTTGCTGCTCTCATCATCGAAGGGTAGGCAACCACAGAGCAAAATGTAAACGATGATTCCCAGCGCCCACATGTCCACGGACATGGAGTACGCCTGACGCTGCAGCATCTCAGGCGCTAGATAACCCCTAGTTCCCAGGAACGAAGCTGTCTCGCCATCCGCATCCAGTAACTTGGCTAGACCGAAGTCAATGATCTTTACATCTGCTCCGCGCGATTTGCTCGTCAGCATAACGTTCTCTGTTCGACAGCACGTACAAGCCCAATGAGCACGCGGTAGGTGTAAAACGCAAACTCTACCACCACCTGACAGCCAGATAGACCCACCTGGTTTCAGGTCACGGTGTATGATTCCACGTGCGTGCAAGTAGGCGACCGCCGACGTGATCTGTCGAACGATTGTGCTTGCTTCCACCTCGGACAGTGTCCCCCTATCGACGACGTAATCAAACAGCTCACCGCCGCCCATGTACTCGGTCACCTGCCCGAGGGCGCACACAAACCAGTAAGTTTTCCTGTAACAAAATGACGAACAAAAGGCGTCTCTTTGCATACCATGCAGATCTTCGATCCCGACAAGTACACGTCTTCGATATGAATGATATTCGGATGCCTCAGCGACTGCAAGACTTGAATTTCCACCTGCACACAACAACACCGTGACCCCATCAGCACGACAACATCAGATCTCCAGCACAGACATCCCCGCCCATTCGATCCATGCTTCACACTGTCAACCACACACACACACACACGCGCACTCGTAACGCACTTGCAGTTGCTCCATCGCGCCATTGTGTTCTTTCTCAACGACGCGTCGGTCAATGATCTTGCACGCTCGGACGACACCCGAGCGCCGTTCACGACACTTGTACACGACCGACGTGCCTCCATGTCCTGCACAACAAGAGGCACCAGCAGTAGCAGTAGCAGTCGCAGTCAGTCTCAGCAAAGACGGCGCACAGAGGTCCAGTCCATCGACCCACCAATCTCATCCAGCATCTCGTACTTTGCGTCCAGACTGCCGCTACTGTACGACGGGCCCTGCAACTTGATCATCTAAAGCCTCACGCAGCGTCGTGTCAGACCCATCAGAGTTTTGTACACAAACCTCATGTACACAGTTACAACCAATACACGTCGTCGTCTACCTGCGGTGCAGATGCGATCACCGGTCTCAAGCTGACCGTGTGCACCTCTCGGGTGTGTGTGAACCCATTCGTGCGCCGATGGACGGACTGCAAGAGGTTATCTTCTCGCCCCAAGTTGGTCCCGCATAGCCACGATTGAGCCCCGCCCATCACGTCCGCGACGTCGTTGCTCCTGCTACTGCTACTACTTCAGCCGCTTTGGCTACTTCTGCTGCTACTTTGGATGTTTCGTGTCGCTTTTTTTGCCAACTGAATCCGGACGTGGAGTGCGTTTGGTGCAGGCAGATCCTGTCAGTAGAAAACGGACCGAGACGATCGGATTTGACGGGGGACCCGCCGGCGCTCGCGTGGAAATCTGAACGAACAATCGCTTTGGGTCTGTCGCAATCATTTCTCGCGCGTCGACCCCTCACGGCCCATACAATAAACACAAAAGTAACGCAACGAACAACGGCTGTTTCTGGCGTTGTCGACGTCGCGAAGTTGTCGCGTGATGCAGACAGACAGACAGACAGACAGACAGATAGACAGACAGACAGATAGACAGACGTGTGCATAACAGCTGTGTGAGTTATGGTTCATGTCAGCGCTGCAGCTGAAGCCGGTGCAGCCGTCCACAGGCTCTTTTACTGCATCGTCACTGTCAGAATAGAGCGGCTGTCGATCGAGAAGAGCAGAAACTTGTTGCCTTTTTTCCAGTGCTTGGGTGGACCGGCCAGAGTGATGGTCCCTCAGCTTTGCCTGCCAGCTGGTACGACTGTTCGCACCACGACACACGACGTGACGACGCAAAACAAGGGCAAGTCGAGTGCTCTCTCTTGTGTCACTACGTGTGACAAGTTAGCGGCCTCAGCGCATCGCCTCTCGCTCGGACCTTCTGCCGTCGCATTCAGATCTATTCCGTTGTACCCATAAGACCTTTCCTTGCTACTTGGCGTCGATGCTGTAGACAAGTCCTCCTGCATCGCAGCTTTCAACATAAAGTCCCATGCCTCTCTTTGGCAATTGACCGATGATACAGTCGGTGCCGATGATCCAAAAACAGCCTACCACTCGGAGACTGTATAGTCCTTCAGAAACTGACCATAGACAGGTTTGACGACGGTGTGGCCGTCTTGGAACATTGCAAAGATCGGGTCGAGTACACGAGCAGCAGCATCGACCTCATCCAGAGGCGTCTGGAAGTTATGGGCATCGGCAATACGGACAGCCACATCTCGCGGATTCTCGTCGTTGATCCAGCCCTACATCGCACACAACAGCACAGCACGGATGAGGGCCTGACACACACGTGCTCGCAGGGCAATATAGATGCTCGTACCGTGTCGACGCTGTTCATGTAGATTCCTTTGCGCGCAAGGTCTTCCGCACACGTTCTCGTCATCATGTTTGCTGCTGCCTTGGCCATGTTTGTGTGCGGGTGATTCGGCGTCTTGTTCCGGTAAAACTTGCCTTCCATAGCGCTAACGTTGATAATAAAGCGGTGTGCGTTCGAGCTCTGTACAGCACGGGAAAGCGACACAACATGTCAACACGAGCGACGCATTGCATCAGCAATGTCTCGTGTACCTTCTCGAGGAGCGGAATCGCACGCTTGTTCAGGATAAACGGTGCCATTGTGTTGATGGCAAACACTTCGACCAGCTCTACAGTAGCATACACGTCAGCGAGAAACTCGTCAACGGTGTCCGACGCATCGTCGCATTGACTACTCACCAATGGTCTCGACCTGGTTGATGTTCTGGACCCACGAGTTCGACGTGCGCAGATCTACTTGCTGCTGGTTGTGGTCCACCTGACCAGTGGGGAACAACGCCGCCGTTTCATCGGATTGCTGGTCCTCAGCAACAAGTGGCATCTGTGCGAGATGCACGGACGTCGGTGCGGAAGAATACATCGCTGTCAAAGATTCACCGTTCGTGCTGACGATCGCGGCGCTGTTGACAGCAACATTGCCGCTTTTCACATTGACGGCAGCACTGCTGCAACCTAGAAGATTAGCATTGCCTCGCAAAATCTGACCCACGCGAGCCAGGTCATCGTCAAGCGGCGCCATCTCCCGCGCGATCAGATGCTTGTAGTAATGCACGGGTCTCCGAATGGTTTGCGTTGCGTTGTTGATCAAAATGTCCAGTCTTCCGTACGTTTGCATCAAATGATCCATAAACCTGTCAATCACACCCAAATCACGGAAATCCATGCCATAGACTTGCAGTCGGTCCTTCCAGCGTTCAAAGTCCTTCTCTTTCGCATATCGAAGCGCCGCGTCTTTTGGGAACCGCGTGGTCGCTATGACAGTCGCTCCACCTCGCAGCAGCTTGAGCGTGATCTCGTACCCGATCTTTACCCGTGCACCAGTAACCACTGCAACGTATCCATTCAAATCTGCACTTTGCAGCCGCTTCTTGTAGTTCAGCTCGGCACACGACGGACACAATCGGTCGTAGAAATGGTGCAGTTGGCGGAAGCGGACTTTGCACGTGTAGCACGCTCGATGATAGTGCAACTGTTGCGTCTCCTGCTTCTCTCCGACAGCTCTGTCCTCTTTCTTGTCTCCTTTCTCCGTCAACAGCAGCGGCTCATCTGCGGTAGCGACGCCGTCCGGGACGTGCGCCAGCAGCGGATTCTGTGTCTGTAGCACTGCCAATCGCGCGATCCGCTCGGCCCGCAGCGCCGTCTTGTTCACGAACTGCTGGTCCAGCGCCTTTTGCCGCGCTCGCTCGACTTTCTTGGCGCGTTTTCGCTGCTGTCGTGACGAGTCAGTGGCTGTCGAGTGGCCGTGATAGAACTTGGCGCGCAACTCGGAAAGAAACGGGATCAGCACCGTCCGCAGAGGCTTGAAGAGTGGCGACGACTGGAAGAGCTCGTGCGCCTCGTCTCCGTGCAGCTTTTGCAGCGTCGCGACACACGCTGCGAGCTCCGCGGCCGTGACGCAGCTCATTGGCACTGACGGTGTCACGGACCTGAGGGTACGTCGCGGGTAACCAGGGTACGTATTGCTTAGGTACGCAATCGTATCACTTAGGTACGTGAATGTGGTACTTAGGTCCGTCGTATGCAACTTGGTTACCGGAGAGTGTCACTTAGGGTACGCGACCGTGTCACTTTGGGTACGTGAGCGTGTAACTCGGGTACGCAATCGACATGGAGCACGAGCACGCCGCGAGCTTGACAGCGCGTGCCATCAAGAAGGCGCTGCCGGACCGCGCGATCGTAACGCGAGAGGCACAACGGACGATAAACTCGGCTACTAGTGTATTTACGCTGTACTTGGCGTCCCTGTGCGTGAGCAACTGTATCTTTGGACACAGATGAGATTGAGTGACAGACTTCGTAGTTGAGTCCGATAGTTACGTGACGTATCTCCTGCCGTACGTGTTTATTGGACGTGTTGTTCGACATGCAGCGCGCACGAGATGTCGTTGGCCAACAAGCGCAGTACCATCACGTTGAAAGACGTGCTGCAGACGCTACGAGACGCCGATTTCGAGCACTTTATCGAGCCAATTGAGGCGTGTGTACAAGGTCGGGTGACGCTCGGGGTTTGTGACACAGATTGGATCGTTGTTCTGACCTGTTGTTGCTGCGTTAGAGACAAAGGCTGCGGCAGATAGAAAGCGGAAGCTTCAGGATACGATTGAGATGGAGGATGGAGCTGAGACGACGAGTGAAGTGGCAGCAAAGCTCGATGAAGTGGCGATTGACACGAGCGACAAGGAGGAAGACGAGATGTCGGTGGACGACACGTCGGATGTTGAAGATAACAGCGGTGATGCAGATACGAGCAATGCGGTCAACGACGGGCAGGACAGAGCTACGGCTGAAGAAGAGCGTGGCAGTCAGACAGTGCAGATGGAGGGTGAGGAAGATGACTCAGCCGAGGCAATGGAGCAATCATAGAGATCATCACGCGGTGACGAGACTAAGGTGGTGCTGATTACGAGCCAACAGGACAATCTGACTCTATGGCTCTGTTCTTGGTGACTTCGACTTGGACGCCTCCAATGATTCCTCGGCGACGGTCTGCGTGCTCCAGCACTGCCAAGCACGAGGTGGAAATCGCGTCACGCGCTTGGCCATACTTGAGTCCCGACAAGAGGCCAATGTTAATGACGTCGTACGGCGAACGAAGTAGAATATCGCGCGTTGCACCGCTGGAGAACACCAGGTTTTTGCCGCCTGTGAGGCGGACCAGGTGGCTTGCGTTGGAGAAGAAGTACCTTCGCCCAGCGCTGTCGCCCAAACACGGCACGTACGTGATCTCAAAATATACCCCACGCTTGACAGCAGCCGCAATCTGTGCAACGCATTCAACAACAAGTCAACGCAGTAACAAGTGTGAGCATGACGTCGCTTGCATAAGACAATGCAAAAGCAACAACGATGGACAGAGCTGCTCGAACCAGTGGACGCTTGATCTGGAACGGTATCCGGTTCGTCACATCGAACGTGATCAAATCAATGTCGGCCTGTTCACACAGAAACTGGAAGACCTTCAGCGTCATTGCTTCGACCGCCACAACGTCGTATCCCTTGACCACATCCAATCCAATCTATGCGGTCCATGCATTCAGTATCAGCCAAAACAGCAACCCAACAGCCACGAGCTCAAAGTGTCCAGCAACGACTCCCGTCCGCTCCTCGTCGCTGCTACTCACCAGTCTTTGCGCATCTGCTACTTCCTCAATCTTGAGCGTAATGCGCTTGCGCTGTCTCGGCAGCTCGTTTGAATCTCCTGTCTCGACGTCTTTCAGCTGCAACCCCTTCCCCACCACAGCCGTGTAGAGCTTGGCCTTCTTCGCCACCTTGTCATGTCTCTCTTCCTGTGCAGACGGAGGCAACGCTGGCAGCGCTGTTACAGACTTGAGCTGCTGTGCAGAGCCATCGCAGTCGACATTGACGCACACGCACGCGTACCCCACTGCAGCGGCACAGCACACAACGCACGCAATAACAATCACAACGACGCAACAGCACTCGCATCAGCAGCGATCAACAGCTAGAGCGGCACGGCCAATGGAGTCGCACGGTCTACTGCACTTACATCGCTGGAGCTCGCGCGCGGAGACCCGCGCAGTGGCGCGTACGTTCAGGTCCACGTACATTGTCAATCGCTTCCGATAGACAGCGTACCCCCAAGCGGTCTCAGCGTCGTACCCTTTCGAAATCCGTGACGCGCTGCTGCTGTTCGGTGGCGCGCGACCACAGAAGTCTAGTACCACGAAACGCTGTATTTTGTCGCGGGCTGTAAAAACGACAGTCGGTCCCGTAATTACGCGACCGGCTCTGCACCAGTCACTCCGCGCCAGTCAATTGATCCCCTCGACCGCAATGACAGCCAACCGCCGCACTCGCGTGACGTGTATTACTGGAAACAATGGCTGACCAATCTGTCGAGGACAAGAACCTGGAGCTCGCGGCGCTGCGCAAGAAGCGCACGTTCCGCAAATTTAGCTACCGTGGCGTCGACCTCGACAAGCTGCTGGACTTGAACCATGAAGAGCTCATGGATCTCGTGAACGCCCGTGCCCGTCGTCGCTTCTCGCGCGGTCTCAAGCGCAAGCCAATGGCTCTGATCAAGCGGCTGCGCAAGGCCAAGGCGGCTGCCAAGCCCATGGAGCGCCCGGAGGGTATCAAGACGCACCTGCGTAACATGATTATCGTGCCTGAGATGATTGGCTCGGTGGTCGGTGTGTACAATGGCAAGGAGTTCAACGGCATTGAAATCAAGGTATGTGTCCAGAACTGCTCGCGTGCTCTCGGAGGATGTGCTGGCTTACAACCCGAAGAGTGGTGTACTATGCGAAGCGATTCGCTTGTGTGGTACACCCGGCTGCCATCCTCTTGCCGATGTTCTGTGTATGGGGCGACCCAGAGAGTTATTGCATGTGTTTCGTGATGATGCGCGATGGTGTACTTGTCAGTAGGCGGGGATGATAGCGTGTGAGTGTAGTATCTAAAGGTTGTGGATTGCGGTGTTATGACAGCCCGAGATGATCGGCCACTACCTGGGTGAGTTTGCCATTTCGTACAAGCCAGTGACCCACGGTCGCCCCGGTATTGGCGCTACGAACTCGTCGCGTTTCATTCCGCTCAAGTAGACGGACTGAACAGGTTTGGTGCAGGTGCTGGTGAATGCCGTATGCTGCTTGCTCCCTCTGGGTTGAGCCATTGTAATACACTCTTTCCGCTGAGATGATATCTCGAGCGACAAATTGGCGGAGCGTGGATCTTCTCGACTATCTGCTTGTCTCTGTGGTGTCTGTTTCTGCTGCTGCTACTGTAGGAAGTTACTTGCCACTGGACGGGGAACTTGGAGGTTGATGCGTGGAGTGCCGATGAAGCAAAATTCGCAAGAACCAACGATACAATGGTGGAAATCAATCTCTGATATATTTGCACGTCAGTCTGAGGCACTCCAGTCAACCTACAAGTAAGTACCCGTCCAGGTCGTTCGACACAGGGTCCTCTGCATGTGTGTGTATGTGTAGTTGTTGCTTGCTCGTTCGTTTGCCGATGATGATCAGTTCTCTCCTGATCAAACTTGATGAAATCATCTATTTCCAATTGATCCTACTGAAGGCAAATAAACGTAGCTAAGTGACGTTTGATGCATCTCATGTGTAGTTGAATGGGAATATACTGCTTGATCGGTCGGTTGTTGGTGTCATGGAAGTCGTTGTTGGTGTCATTGTGCCAGTTAGACTGGATCGCTCGATTTCGATACGGTCGCCTGTGCCAGTTGGACTGGACCGTTTGGTCTCGATACAACCAAACTGAATCGGGACCAAAAACGTCATCTCGGTGACGAAACTGAAGATGTTGTGTCACCAATGACTGTAGGATTCTTCGCATACTTATTGTCGCGCAACTAACATATTGAGCTGTGCTCGGTGTTGAACCCGGTGCATTAGAACGCTGACAAGTGCCTGGCATTCGGCGGACTTGATGCCTGTCGATCAAAACAAGCAGAGCACGGGTGATCGGACGCCAACTTTTGGGAGTGCCTGCGAGTCTCCAGCTCAACTCTGAAGAGCAGTTGCCCATGCAATTGAGACTTGCAATTCATCCATCGCGAAGACGCACAATGAAAATTGGCGCTAGTTTATGACTAGCGCCAAGTCTGCTTTCTCGACCAAACTATCCAGTCGTGTTTGCAGATCGAGACTCGGCGCTTTCTTGCACGTGCATCGCAACAGAAGAAGACCGAGCAGCCGAGTGCATCAGCTTTCCACGACAATCTCGGAGGACAGTTAAGCCTGTATCTGTGTCGATATCGGCGGACGTATAGTTGCACACGTTTTTCCGGTCCATTATCAAGCAGCATATGTCCTTGAGCCGATATCGTCAACGCTGCTCAAAAGCGAAGCATCAATGTCCTTGAGTGTACATCGTCAACGCTGCTGGAAAGCATCGCGACAGTGTTATTAAGCCGATGTCGTCAACGCTGCTGGAAAGCATCGCGACAGTGTTATTGAGCCGATGTCGTCAACGCTGCTCGAAAGCAAAGCATCAATGTCCTCGTCAAGATCCCGATACAAGTCAGGTTTGGAGAGCAGCCAAGCAAGATCAGCACCATCCATCCTTGTCGTTACTGCGTCGTCGGGCAGGATGCCATGCCAGTAGTGCAAAGTGAGACCAGCTGGTCTCGACACGACACGTGACAGTAGCCTGCTTGCGTTTACACCAATTGAGCAGCCAAAGAATCATCGACAAGTCGAATGGCCAAGCAAAACCAGCAAGTGGAGCTGCTGAAACTAGCGCTTGAGCGGAACGTCCAGCACTACAGGCGAGTGAAGAGGTCCGGCGACCAACGGGCTGCTAGCAGCATTGACAAAGACTGTCCCTCCGACACGCGTCGCTCCGTACGCTTCATGGACATGGCCAAACACATGGAAACGCGGTCGAATGCGCGACACGACCTCCTTGAGCAGTGCCTCGCTGCCCACGTGCGTCCCGGTGAACGTCGTGTCGAGAATACCGTGAGGCGGGCCATGCGTCACCAAGAGATCGACATCAGCCGGCACCTTGGCCCAATGCTGCTGGTCAGCAAAGCCTCGAGCGACGTTGAATGCACCGAGACGGCCAGGCACCGGTGGCGTCATGGGCGAGCCAAAGATCTTGATGCCTCGTATCACAACCGACCGGTCTTCCAAGTACGTGCAATTCGCTAGCAACGCTCGCGAGCGACTCGGGTTGTTGTACTCGCGATGGCGAAACGCCTTGTCCCACTGCAGGTCGTACTCGACAGCGTCCATGCAGACGTCGTGCGCGCCAGCAATCACTACTTTGACCGCATGCGGCAGCGTCCCGAGCCACTCGTTAAAGTCACAGACCTCGTCGTGCGTCCCGCGATGGGTAAAGTCGCCACAGTGCAGCAGGACGTCTCCGCTTGGGACGTCCACGAGCTCCCGATGCCTCGCGTGGGTGTCCGAGATACACACGACACGCAGTGTCTCTTCGGACAGAGCCGAACGCGCGAGCGAGCGGACAAACGCAGTGGAGTCGCGCAGCCACGGACTGGTCCAGCCAAATGTACCCATTCCATTCCAATAGACCCAGCGGAGACCGAGCGCCAGCAGCGCTGCGAGCGCAACCACGACGCCCGCGGCCCCCCAGCGGTGGTACACGACCGAGAGGACGACCAGGAGAAAGGCGGCAAAGCTGCTGGCAACAGCCGCTGCGGTCTGCTCGGGCGACGCGTCGTGGGCCACGCGCTGGCGCACCTCGTGCGGCAGCGACATAGTGGTAGTCAAAACGCGAAGCAAAATGGGTCCCGGACGATATGTGCACTGCGGTGGACAGGTGCGCATAAACGTGCGACTGGCGCGTGTGTGTAGGGGTTATGTCCGCACTTAGAAGGACGTTGGGCATATCGACTGATAAAATCCTGGCAGTCGCCTTGCTGCATCTGCATCGGCTGCTGCTGTTGCGTCGTCTTTGTCTGCGTTGGATCTCAGAGCTGCGATGGAGAAAGCCGTCCGTACGGATCGTGTACCTGCGCACACGTTGCTGCACGAGCGCAGCGCGTCGCGGAGGTTCGGTGCGATCATGAGCCTGCAGTTCCTCACGGCAGCTTCGTTCGGCTTTATGAGTCCCATTATCTCGCTCGTTATGACGGAAGTCAGTGCTATGTTCTCGTTTGCTCTTCTTCTTGTTCGACGGTCTTGGATCGTTGTGCGCAATGTGTGTTTGTTTGTGCCAAGCGTAGCAGTGGAAAATGGGTCGGTTTGGTTGTTTTAAACGCTGACGTGGCCTAGTACTTTGCCAGGTTGCACCGAGATGGAATGCCAATTGACTGTGGCGCTCATTCTCGCAACGAGGTGGGAACTAACTGCACTATGTGAAGGATAGTGTGACAATATGACTCTGTATGGATAAAACCCACTGACATTCCATTGCTATAGGCGTGTATCAAAGGATCGCAAGAGGCGGCCTGGTTGTCAAGGTACGGGTCTCTTTCGAGGTCAATTGATACAAAAGGAGTCAACTGTGTCTCAATGGTAGAAGGACCGAACCAAACTAATTTGCTACTTGTTGTTGCTCGTCTTTCTCTTTCTCTGCAGTCTCTTCTCGGCTTCAGGATCGGTGGCGAATTTCATACTCGCCCCAGTGCTTGGTCAAGCTTCCGATGTCTATGGACGCAAGGTCAGGTGGTTGTTACATGGGCCTCTCTGTGTCTTTCTGTGTCTGTCTATACTAACGTTATACATCCATGTGCCTGCACACTACTTATTCGCCATGTTTGTGTGTGTGTGAGTAGCCGTTTCTCGTGCTGAGCCAGTTTGCCAGGGTCGGCACACCGTTCTTGGTCATGTACATGATGCACCCGGCAGGCTCTATTGCTCCATACTTTGCGCTGAGGCTGATCGATTATGGCTTCGGGTAAGGCGGCCTTTGTTCGAGTGCAGTGGACAGTGTTGCCTTGCTGATGACGGTGTCTTGATGCAGAACTGCGGGTGTCCTCAGCGCCGCTGTTGCCGATGTTGTCGCGTCTGAGAATCGTGCGGCAGCTTTTGGCGTTCTTTTTGCAAGCCAGTCCGTTGGCTACTGTGCCAGTGCCTTTGTCGCGTCGCTCTTCTCCCGAGTGAGTAGGTGTATATGGTGTTTGCAAGACAATGCACGGCTTCCTTTGTCTAACGCTACATTGCTTGCACAGGAGCACATTTTGCAGATAACGGCTGCTCTGTTCGTGTCGCGAGTGCTCTGGGCAATGATTGTTCTGCCCGAGACACTGCCTACCCGAGCCCGTACGAGCAAAATACGATGGGTCCTGGAGAGTCCCGTCAGCTCGATGTCGATCCTCTTTCGGAACAAGCTGTTTATGCGGTTGACGTGCCTGATTGCGCTCACAAGCTTCGTGTCGAACGGGATTACCCAGATCCAGCCGTTCTACCTGAACGTAAGCGCACACTTCGGAAGCGCGGTGTCTATGCATGCGACTCACTAAGTTGCTCTGTTGTTGCTGTCTAGAGTATCGTGGGATTTGACGTCAAGGATTTCGGGATCATGCGACTTCTTGGAGGTGGATTAGCTTTGGTGGGACAAGGCTTGTTGCTCCGGCCCCTGGTAAGTTGTTGCAAGGAGAAAGGTGTGATCATCATCGCGATGATCGCCACGTCGGTGAACATGGCTGGCTTTGCTGGGACTGCATTCTACCCACACAAATGGGCCATCTACGTTTCGTGCATGCCTGGTCTTCTCAGCGACCTGTCGTTCCCGGCCATTGCAGCTCTCAAGTCGATCAACGTATCCGACAAGGTTCGCAACATGTCGTACGTGCTTTTGCATATCGCGCCTGATCCTGCTCACGACCTTGGTTTGCATTGCAGGAGCAAGGACGGTTGCAAGGCGCGATCTACGGTGCGCGGTCGGTCTTTGCTGCACTTGGACCTGTCATTTTCTCGACGTTGTATGCTGCTATGAACCGGCAGTCGCGCTGGACTGAGGCGCTCCCGTACGTGGTGGCTGCATCCATCTACTTTCTCGGGATCGGAGTGGCCCTGTCATTACCTGTCGGCAAGCCTGCTGCATCCAAGAAAGCCCCTGCGATGCCTGACGCTTTGCCGTCGCCGACACGTGCTGATTCTCTGTCCTCTTCCTCCGTCTACTTCGAGACTGACGACGACGAGGCGGATGAAGGCGAACTCGGTGCAAGTCATACGGATGTGGACGGTGACGAAGACTCCCTAGCAGAGCCACTACTCGGAAGCAGATCCAGTCCAGCTGAAGTGTAAGAGTACGTATGCCAGACTGTCCACTGACTGCTCGATGGTCGCCACAGCAGCAACACAAGTCTGCCGAGGTTGCAGCTGTGCTGTCAAGAGCTCCCAGGACTCGGTGCTTCATCGACGCTATTCGTCAACTCGAGTCTCGCTGGACGTCTCGCTGCACAGCATCGATGTGGTGAAAGGTATTGTACCAGGCGACGTTCAAACCGATGTGTCATGACAGCTCTCACGTCCTGTGTATGTCTTTGATTCAAGCAAGCCCAGCTGCAGAGCGTAGCAACAGAATCAACTTTCTGCATAGGTCCCCCCGTCAGCTTGCACCGGTCTAGGTATAAGTCGATTCAACACGTGCCAACTGGTTTGTTGCTCCACTTGCTCTGTCGGCTTGAAGTCAAGTGTATCGCTGGGTGTATCTCGACCAACGAGGCCGTACTTGTGTTGGAAGATGACGGCTTCTACAATGCGACATCGCGATAACGGCTCCCAAGAATCCAAGCACCTGGTCGGTCATCGATTGAAAGGCATACACAGGCTCAAGGTGACGTGAGCGGATACAATGGACAGTGCTGCAACGCACGCGCGTCAGGTACCTTTGCCAGCGCTCACCCGACGTCCGCCTCCCTACACGTACCCCACCACACTGCAACGCCTACCCGATCGTCTCGTTCTGCAGGAACTTGCGCAGCATATCGAGCGCCACTGCCGGTTGATCGTGCGGCACCATGTGACCCGAATTGAACACGCGCACGAACGTCAGCTGGTTCCGGAACGACCGCGAGACGCCTGCGCGCGTGCCGTCTGCGGTCGTGTAGACCGTCTCCGGCGCCGCCTTGAACCCGTCTGCGCCGCTCCAGTCGAGCGCGAGCGTCCACGCCTCATTGCCCGACCAGTTGCACACCAGGTCCGCGTCGCCCGCGTAGATGAGCACGCGCAGGCCGTCGTCCAGCAGGTCCGCCACGACGCCGTTGAACGGCCGGGCCAAGTCCGCCGTGCGGGCGAACGCCGCGTTCACCGCCATGTTGCACTCCTGCCAGGCGCCCGCGTGCGCTGCGTCGACGCCGAGCGCCGCGCGCACGTTGGGCGCGTCCAAGTACGCGGCCACGGCCGACAGGTCGTAGCACTGCGTCGGGTCGTCCATGCGCGTGCACGGCCGGCGGATGTCGTACGGGTTGCGCTGCGCCGTCAAGAGCGGCGCCAGCAGTCGGTCGGCGCAGAACGCGAGGTCGTCGACACACGCCGAGCGGTTGTGCGGGCACTGCGCCAAGCGCGCGCCGCACTCGGGCGCGTCGGCTTTCATGAGGGCCAACTGCGCGGCGTCGACGAGTTGAATGCCGTACGCGTTGGCTTCGGCCATATCGACGTAGTGCGGCAGCTGAATCGCTGCGTGGGTCATGCCGTTGCCGATGGCGATCCCCTGCAGATTGAGGCGCGCGTCTGCTGCGCGGCGCTTGTGGTGTTGCCACACGTAGTGCGCCGCCGCGGGGACGTAGTGGCCGCCGTAGCTCTCGCCCGTGATGTACAGGGGCCGGCCCGCGAGCTCGGGGTGGCGAGCCACGAAGCCCTCGAGGAAGGACAGTATGTTGGCGCCGACGCGCTCTTCGCTGTCGTCCCCGTCGCGCGCGTCGCCGTACGTGAAGCCCACCGCCGTGGGCTGGTCGAGCCACACGACGTTGCTCACGGTCGTCCACGAGTACGGGTTCAGCCGCGTCGACAGGTCGGGCAGCACGTGGCACGGCCCGTTCTCCGCGAGCAGCGCCATCATACTGGAGCAACCAGGTCCGCCCGTGAGCCACAGCACGAGCGGATCGGTGCGCGGGTCGCGGCGCGACTCAAAGTACCAGAAGAAGTAGTGGGCGTCGACAGTGTCCGGCAGCTGCACGTAGCCCGAGTCCTGCGTCGTGAGGCCGCAAAAGACCGACCGGTTGGCCACTGTCGCTACGGGGACACCTGTGCGTGGGCCGTGTGTAGTGGTTCGACGCCAAAGGGGCTCGACAACGTACACGAGCAGCAGACAGAGCCCGATGAGCGACACGACAGCGAGCAGAGCGCGACGGACGTTGCGGTTGCGCGTCTCTTGTCGTTCATAATGCTGCAGACTAAAGCGCTGCGTGAGGGGAGTGGACTCGGACGTCATTTGGCCTGCAGCACGCGCGTTCAACTGACGGCAAATACCGTACAGCTAACAATGACCACTTACGACGGATTGTTAACTGATACTGACGACTACTGACGACTGACACTAACGACTACTGACGACTATGATGCAATCGCTCGAGCACCTAACAAGCGACTGCGGTAGTACTAAGTGGGAATCCACACGCGCACTTGCGTCTCCTGTGCTCTCTCCGTGCAAAGTGTGCGAATCCGAAAAAAGATCCGCTCGCCACTCGCTCGGATCCCCTCTTTCACGTCGCACGGCCGCCCCACCGAGTGCCCAGTGCCCATACTGAACACAAGTGACTCGACAAACGCAAGTCGCGCGCAGCGGTCGAGTGCTGACCACAGCGTCAGGTGTTCAGTCCAGAAAAGCGTCCGACCGTCCGACCGGTTGTTTGGCGTTTGTTAGTTGGTGTGGTCGTGGGTTCGTCTGAAGAGCTGAAGTCGCCACTTGCTGCCAATGCTCAGTCGTTGCATCGCTGACGCGAGTTCCTCCTCCTCCTCCTCCTCGTGCCCCTCGTCGTCCGCTTCCTCTGCACGCACTCGACACTGCAACGACTCTGTTCCTCACAGCATCGGACCACTGCGCACCGGTCGGCCCGTCCCATGTCGTCCGAAGCGACGCCACTGCAGCTGCGCTCGTCGTCTCTGCAGCTCAACCTGCGCATCTGGAGACGAGAGGAAGCGCAGAAGCGCGACCTCAAGCGCGGCGGCCTCTTCCTCCTCGCGCTCTGCGCCTTCAGTCTCTTTGTCACGTACGCCGTCGGACCTCTCGTGGAGAACAAGAGCCCCAACGCCGACGCCCCCGTCCACGTGACCCACGCAGCCACCAAAGGCGCTGCCGTCAACAGCTCAACTGCAACACCAGCAACAGCACCGACAGTGGCCAACCGGTCGGTCTTTTGCGGCCTCACGACGCAGGACTCGGGCTACGTGCAGCTGCCGGACACTGTCGACGCCCACTACTTCTTCTGGTACTTTGAGTCGCGCCGCGACCCGCGCACCGATCCGCTCGTGCTGTGGCTCACGGGCGGACCTGGTTGCTCCAGTATGATGGCGCTGCTCGCGGAGAACGGGCCGTGCCACGTGCTGCCCGACCTGTCGACGCGGCTGAACCCGTACTCGTGGACGACCGTGAGCAACGTCGTGTGGCTCGACCAGCCCACGGCGGTGGGCTTCACGTACGGCGACGCGCGCGACGGGGACGACAGCGAAGAGCGCGTCGGCGCCAACATACTGTCCTTCCTCGAGGGCTTCGTGGCCCGCCACCCCGAGCTCGCGGGCCGGCCCCTGTACATCACGGGCGAGAGCTACGGCGGCCACTACGTCCCCGCGGCGGCGCACTACGTGTGGCAACACCACAAGCGCCGCGCAGCAGACGCGCGCCTCAATCTGCAGGGGATCGCCATCGGCAACGGCATGACCCACGCAGCGATTCAGCTGCCGCACTACGTCGATATGGCCGAAGCCAACGCGTACGGCATTCAACTCGTCGACGCCGCGCAGTTGGCCCTCATGAAAGCCGACGCGCCCGAGTGCGGCGCGCGCTTGGCGCAGTGCCCGCACAACCGCTCGGCGTGTGTCGACGACCTCGCGTTCTGCGCCGACCGACTGCTGGCGCCGCTCTTGACGGCGCAGCGCAACCCGTACGACATCCGCCGGCCGTGCACGCGCATGGACGACCCGACGCAGTGCTACGACCTGTCGGCCGTGGCCGCGTACTTGGACGCGCCCAACGTGCGCGCGGCGCTCGGCGTCGACGCAGCGCACGCGGGCGCCTGGCAGGAGTGCAACATGGCGGTGAACGCGGCGTTCGCCCGCACGGCGGACTTGGCCCGGCCGTTCAACGGCGTCGTGGCGGACCTGCTGGACGACGGCCTGCGCGTGCTCATCTACGCGGGCGACGCGGACCTGGTGTGCAACTGGTCGGGCAATGAGGCGTGGACGCTCGCGCTCGACTGGAGCGGCGCAGACGGGTTCAAGGCGGCGCCGGAGACGGTCTACACGACCGCAGACGGCACGCGCGCAGGCGTCTCGCGGTCGTTCCGGAACCAGCTGACGTTCGTGCGCGTGTTCAATTCGGGTCACATGGTGCCGCACGATCAACCGGCAGTGGCGCTCGATATGCTGCGCAAGTTCCTGCAGAACGAGACGATCGGGTAGGCGTTGCAGTGTGGTGGGGTACGTGTAGGGAGGCGGACGTCGGGTGAGCGCTGGCAAAGGTACCTGACGCGCCGGAGGGTGTCGGGATGTCGGGAAGACGAAAAAGACGGCCGGAAGTGCGTACTTTTGGGGTACTTTGGACGGTGTGGACACATAAAACAGTGTCTGTTGTTGGCCTGCCAAAACGTGTGTTGATGAGGTATTTTGTAGCTTGCGAGCTAGAGAACGCGACTGCGCGACCTATCGAACCGCATATTGTGCCTCTCGCGTGAGGGATAGCGCAGACTGTGAAAGCGACGACAGTATAATGTACGTGGCCGTTGAAGCGCAGGTCTCTACTGGACCGTGACTCTCCGCCTCTCATCCCCATCGTCGCTTGATGCATTCGTTCGTTCCGTCCCATCGACACCCGTAGGGCTGCGAAAGTTACGTTTAAGGTTACGCTCACGTCGGACCCCAAGTTACCCTATCGCGTGTGAGTTCCTCTCGTCTGTTGCTTCCTTCCCATTCGGATTTATTGGTCTCTTGATTAACTTTTGTCATTGTTTTGTATGTCGTATTGCTGATATCGTTACTATCGTTGCTATTGCTGCAATTGTTCTTGCTGTTGATATTATTGTTGTCGTTGCCATTGTTATTGTTGCAATTGTTGCAATTGTTACAATTGTTTCGTTGTTGTTGCTGTTGTATAGGGTCAACGTACCTGAACAAGCTCCGTTCACAGCTGTGCTCAAGTATGTCGCCGAAGAGGTACTGTTGCATTGCCCGCTCTCGTACTGCTGTTTGTTTCGGATTAGTAGTGACCGAGAGATGCTCAACATGCAATGCGTTGTATGTGTTCTGGTGCTTCTAGTTCCACGTGCCAGCAGCTACGAGCGCGATCATCACGAACGGTGGGTACATACATGACTATAGCGTGCAATGACTGCCGAGCAGGAACGAAATAACGAACGAGAGAGCGAGAGACTGACGAACGTCGAGCGTGTCGACGGTCTTTTGTTGATGTTTGGGTGCGTGGCAGATGGCATTGGCATCAATCCGTCGCAGAGCGCTGGCAACGTCTTTTTGAAGCACGGCTCTGAGCTGCGTCTGATTCCTCGCGATCGTGTCGGAGGCTGCAGTTGGTGCTGCTAAACGTTGGGCCAAAACACCTGCTTGGCTGCAGCTCGAGGGGGACAACGAGAGGTGGCGATGCAGCAAAGTGCTCGATGCGGGTGGTGACTGCACCGACTCGACGTGTTCGATTGCAAACCACGAGATGAAGACGCTGTATGGTGCTGTAATCAAGCGCTTGTATTGGTAACGCATCGGCATTGGCGGATGCTGCTCTTGAATAAACGTCCCTGAGGTGAGACGGTCTGGTTTGTGTTCGAGAGTCGACTGACTACCTGACACTCCGCTGCTTTCTAACCTTCCAGACGGTGGCTGTGTTCACAACCCCTTGTTGTAAAAGACGTGCGTGACAGGGTCGGCGTCGTCCGAGTGCTGCTTGAACGTGCGTTGACGGATCGTCTCTTGCAACTCGGGCTCGAGCGAAGACACAGCTATGGAGCTGCGCTGCGGGAAGAGGGCGCAGCACAGCGGTGTCGAGAAGCTCAGGCAGACACCGGTGAGTCCTACCATGGTCAGCGCGTTCACCACCTTGTTGTGGCGGAAGAGAGGCCGCTGCTCTAGCTTGCTCATGATGACGGGCGGGAAGATCATGCCGGGCATGGCCATGAGAATGCGCGACGGCACCACTTGCGCCACGGCCTCTACTGCCGCCCGCTTGCTCTTGCCCACCTTGTCTCCATCGGCTGTCTCGACTTCAATGCCGCCCAGCAGCTCACGCTGTCGCATCAACGGGATGTTGACACAATTGGCAGCAGCAACAGCCACAAGGGGCACGAGGCGGCCAACAAGGCCGTTGCTGAGCTTGGGGCGCTTGGCCACCCACCGATTGAGACCCAGCGCTGTTGCCACCGAGGCCGTGCTGGCGGCAGCATAGGCCTGCAGCAGCTGCTCCTGGCTCACGCCCGTGCTGGCATTGCGGTTCGTGTAGTTGACAATGGAGTTGAAGGTCTGGTTCATAAACTGCCAGAAGATAACGGCGGGCGTCGAGCGGTAGAACGTCATCATGCAGCCCGTGATGACCATGTTGCCCGGCACCTGGAAAGCCATGCGTCCAACGAGCAGATTCTTCTCGCCCGTGTCGGGATGGAACGCACTGTCCACGAGCTGCTTGGCGCGCCACAGGTCGTCCTCGCTCACGTGCAGCTGCTGACCGGCCTTGTACGCCTCGACGAGCGCCTGGGCTGCATCGAGCTGGGCGTCCGTGGCCAGCACATTGAGCGGGTTCGTCGTGGCGAGGAAGTGCTTGGCCCGGCCGACGTATGTGCTTTGGTCCCAGCGAGGGGCGTCGAGGTTCACGAACGGTGGGGCCATTGGATCCCCCACTTGCGGTCTCTGATACTGACGACGTTGAGGCTCTGTGGACCAGTCAATGGATTGTGTCGTGTCGTCGTGATGGAGAGTTGTGACCCACTTGAAGATACACTGACGAGCGTGCATAGAAGAGCGCGAGACGACGGACGGCAGTGACGGCACGAGATGATTGGCTGAATTGTGTGCGCGCGTCGGTCCGAGGTGGCTGATGGACTGCGTGGACCACCTTATTCACTCCATGAGACCATTGCAGCGGGACAGCAGACACGTCTGGGTAGAGACGACGTGTGACCCGTACGAGGCAATGATCGAACGGGAGTTGTACGAGTCGCGGGAGCTCCTTTTCTGACGACGCTTTTGCACGAGCGGTGTTGCTGTACCAGTTGTTGTTGTGGACCCTTTTTGCAAGGCGCTCGCAGGAAGAAGCGTCGGATAAGTGCTGTTCGTCGTCAGCAGGTCTACACAGAGCGATCTACCGCCACTGTCTGCAGTAATTGTACGACAAATAGTCACCCGCTAATTTTCGTTGTAGACTCGGAGGTGCCAGAGATGTCGGCGTCATGCGCGATGGATCGGCTGAGTGCGAGTATGGTACTGGGTCTCGACTGGCTGGACAGAGTCAGCTGACGCTACTGGGGACACACACGCTTTTCCGGGCAAGCGAGACATTGACGTGGTGGGTAGTGCATGAAGTCGGTGCTTTGCGTTCGTACACGTTTGCAGCCAGTCATCGACCCGGCAAGACCTCGTGTTGGGATCAAGAAGAACAGCTTGCAAGGTCCTGCACATTGAAGCAGCCAAATGACACGTGCGAGGATTCTGTGACCAGTTGCCATCGGATGCAGCTCCACCCCGTGCTTCAATAGTGGTCGACCCCACTTGGGTAGGAAGCAGTAGAGATTGATGACCACAAGTGCGGTGCAACAAGACGCTTTCGACCACAGACGTCACAGATGCCCCTTGTGTTACGAACACACGTGGGGCATTCAAGCAGAGTACTTCATTGCAGCTGCTGCTGCTGCTGCAACAAGCGAGCAGAAGTCGGGTCGTCTTGCTAGTCGAGCAGCGTCAACAGATCAGAACAACTACTGCTGGGCGCATCTCGTCGCATGGCTGACGCAGACTATGGTCTTGCAGCGTCCAACGAGCCTCGTGGCGCATTGTGTAACAGCAAGTCGAGCTTTGTCACAGCCACTTGTCGAAACTACATACGTGAAGCTCCACATCCTGTCTGAACTGCATCGAAGAATCTCATGCGAGAAAAGCGCTCAAGACACAGCACAAAGGCGTTGGCAGTCGTCGTCGTCGTCGTCGTCTGGATCAAAAAAGTACCACAGGGCAGCCACAGGTCGTTCGTGAGACCGACCGACCGACGCCACGCAGCTGCAGCGCAAAGCTGATTTGAAAGCCGTGTCGAACAGGCACAGCCCGAAACTGCTGGACAACAAGCCGCCACACAAACGGCGCCTGGCGCACCTGCGGTCCTGACAAAGATCAAGCGATTGTCGCCCGGCGCTGTGCTCCAGACCAATGCCACAGAGACGTGCGATGGAACACTGAGCCAACGAGTCAAGCGACGCTACTGCAGCTGCCGTAGAGACAGAGAGAGGAGCCGAACTCAATGATATCGCAGCAGCAAGCAGCACGTCTCATCCCGTCTAGTGCGTCAGAGCTCGCTCCAAGTGTCGCGATCGATCAACTGACATGTCCGACCACGTGCAGAGTCTGTTGCTGCTTCTTGGATTCGTGCACAATGGCAACAGCGTGAGGAGGAACGTGACGTTACCAGGCGTTTGTCCCCTTAGCTGGTGAGCTGTCGAGCACTGAAGCCACCGACCGCTTGACAATGCGTCGCATCCCCATCTTTTTTTTACATGACGTGGCCATTCGATGCAGCCACCGGCCACACCCACTGCACTGGACAGTCGATCCGGACACTACAGCAGAGCTTCGTACTCTCCTCTGCTCACCCATTGCGTTCATCACCTGCTAGCGCACTCGCTGAGCCCCATAGGCGACCGAAAGATGCACAAAACGGCCTCAAAAGTGATCGTCTCGAGGTCTTCGAGACGAGATGCTGTCGGACAGCTTCGCGCTCGTCAGACGTCGCGTGACAGACGTCGGCAAATCCCCGTCGACCGATCGGTCGCTTCGAAGCGCCACGTCCGACCGAACCGGCTTTGGTCGGTTTCTGGCCGCGATGGTCAGCTGATCGCGGCCGGGCGCGTCTCTCGAAAGATCCCGTCATTTCGACATTGGCTGGGAAGATCGAGCACCCGATCGACCGCTCGTCCGTCATGGCCACCGAAACGACCCCACTGCGCGGCGTGCAATACGCCTCGGACGCCCAGCGACGCAAGCGCATTGTCGGCATCACGGGCGTCGTCGTCGTGCTTGCAGCTGTCGTGGTCGTGCTGTGGCTCACGCTCAGCGGTCACGGCTCCAATTCGATGGACCCCAAGATGCCACGTGCACCGGAGAACAGCTCTCCGGTTGACCCTCGCGACGAAGCACCGGACGCGGCCCCCGCCGCGGCGCCAGGCGCTCATCTCCGACACGAGCCGCCTGTTGATGCCGTTCACCAGGGGACCCCACCCGTTGATGCCGTCCACCATGGACAGTCGCCGTAGGATGTCACCTCGCGCGGCCCATCCGTTCGTCTGAAGATACGTCAAGCGCTCTTTTCGTTCGTGCCTTTCCCGTATCCCGTATCCCGTTCCGCCCCCCCCCCTCCCCCCTCTCAAGACCAGTCAACAGGAGACACATCTGAGCTCGAAAGTACCTCGAGCCGTTCTTCGAAATCGCAAATACACGTCCTTTTGCATTGTTTGGTTGGGAACGTCGCACTGCATTTACTTTCTTGCGGTCTTTTGGCGCTCAGGGGTCATGACGGGTTCGCTCGACAGTTGCTCTAGCACCTGCGTGCGGGATACAGTCTGGAACACCATGGACGGCTTGGCTTGCCAAGCGCGTCGTGAGCTGTCCGAAACGCAGTGTCATTCGACGGTCGTATTGTCGATGGACGGGTAACCTCCATCGACGACACGATGATGCTCGATGGAGTGTCTGGTCTAGCAAGTCAAGAAACACGTCACACTGTTGACGCATCCCATGTAGCAGAAGAACTGTGTCCTAAGAACCGAATGCGCTAGGACATACGTGCACCGACAACGAATTCTACTATGTGTAGCTCAGGTCCTTATCGAATGCTACCGGCCGTCTTGTTGCCTGTCGCCGATGAAAATCATACTCACATAAACAGCCTGACGTACGCAATCTCGGCATCGGATAAGAACACAGCGACACATTGAGCATTAGTGCACAGCTCTACTCCATGATCCCGAGACTGTGTGCACACGGGACGCTGACTGATGAGTTGAAGACGCGGTCAATGTGACTGTAATCAGACGCTAGCAAGGATGGGTATGCTACGGTTGGTGAAGTGGGCGAGAGAGCACTTTCGCAAATGTGCTTAGTAGCTCGACTAGAAGCCGAGATCGAAGCTTTGTGCAAGTCTTCCAGAAGTTCACACAGCGAGAAGTGATATGGTTCTTGGTTTATCAACCAAATGTCCAAGCACATTCACCGCCACGGATCACAAGGTCAGATGCTGCGGAAGCGACTAAACTTGTTCGAGCAGTCAAACCCGACAAACGCGGTCTCTGCACACCATTTTTCTGGAGTAGATCATACGCCGTCCGAAGCTCGTTTTGCGAGGCAAAGGACGCGCATTAGCGTATGGTGGGGACGCCTGATGGGTATAACCTTTTCGCAGGACTCCTGCAACAAAAGGACGCTCGCACAGTTTTAGTCAGAGCGTCGGAGATGGGTTACCATGACCAGCCAACTATGTTTGACGTACGACAATCAGGGATCGCTGAGCCATTCTCCCTCTTTCATTGCTTACCATCATGAGTCCAGTCAGCATCGGTACGAGCAATGACTGAGGTAGAACGACCTAAGGCAGGAGTAGATGAAGCGTTTGTTCACCATGGGGCTGCAGCATATTGATACAATGTCTCTATTTCGTACCACGCAACGGATGGTTGTGACATCATTGGTATGAGCAACACAGCTCGCTTGTCAAAACTGTTTGCAGGCTACAACGCGGATGTCTAGTTGTTCGCCAAGTCGACGCGCGCATCACTTGACCTGGAGGAACCCTCGCACCTCAGCAACGAACGCGTACAAGTTTGTCTTGAACTGCATGCGCATCTTGCGTGTACTTGCCGTACCCGTCGCAATATCGCCAGGCGACACAAAGCTAATGAGCTTTGCAAATGCTGAAGTCAGTCGTTGCTGGTTGGCGGCGTCCAGATTTTCCTGCTCGCGCACCATCTCCTCGGTCAGCGCAGAGAAGCGAGCTTGCTCGATCAAAATGAGCGGATACAGCGACCCAGCGCATACGTCTAGGATGACCGGATCGAAATCATCGAAAAGTGCCATGCGGAAGATGATACGCAAGAACACCATAAACATCTCCGGGTGGTGCTGGTAGTGGGCGTCAAGTCCCGGCTCCTGGCCTTGCCGCGCCTTCCAGTGGTAACTAGCCAGCTCACCAAGCGCCTGAAAGCTATTGCGCACTACATCCACCGACACATGGCGCATGCCGACCAACAGGGAGTGCAGCAGCATCTGAAAAAGCTCGCTTGATAACGACACCAGCTTCTCCGCGTAGACTTCCACCATATACGACACCAGTGTGAAGTACTGCTTGCTCAAACTTGGGTAGGCTAGCAACTGCTCGGTCATGAGCGGAATCACCTGGCTTAACCCAGAAAAAACCACGTCAGCCACAACACTGGAAGCATGGCTGACATCGTTTTGTTCCTGTTCAGTCGTTGCGTCTTCTGAAAAGTCGATAAAGTCTTTTGACACCAAATGCGACAACAGTGTCAGCAGTGCCAACAAATCGGCATAGTTCTCCTCTTCAGCACAACCCAGCGTGCTCTTCTTGCCCAAGTTGTGCCGACAGTAGGCACGGACAAGCTCGTCGACAACCGTGTACACTTGTAGTGCGTCACGCGGAGAGAGGTAGCACAGTTGCGCCTCCACCATGAGACAGAAGAAGGTCAAGATGGCGTTTGCAATCTGCGTGTCATCCTGAAACATCGTGAACATCTTCACAATGACAGGCAAAGCAGGCAGGCAGAATGCTGTGATTGGAGCGTGGCTGTTTGCTTCTGCCGAGCGGGCGATGCCTGAATATATCTCAATAAGCAGCTTGAGCTCTTCCTGTACGCGCACATCGTTCACCGTTTGCTTCGAATCGAACGCCGGTAGGGCGATGAGCTGTCGCAGCCGCTGTTCAGCCGGCTGACTTACGGCCTGGAAATGAGCCACGCGCATGCTAGGATCCAGTGATGCCATTCCTGCTCGGCACAACGCCTCCGTGAGCCGACCGCGAAGATTGGCGGGGATCTTAGCGACCGCCGCATTCAGCGTCGCTGTGTTCTCACCTGCCAAGATGGCCATGAACGATCCGGCAGATGCGTTGGCTTGGACAAGCGATTGCCACATCGGTAGACTTAGCACAGCGCTGATGGCTCGTGTGTTCGAAAGCACAAGCAAAAGCTCGATTAGGTTTTCCATGACTATCGGCTGTGTCGGCCAGTGAAGCAGGTATACAGTAGCTTTCTGAACCAGGAAGTTTAGCAATTCGATTGCACGCCCTCCACTTTGGACAGCAAACGCGTGCAGAATCGCTGGCGCCGACTCATTCAGATCATCTAAAACGCTCGGGGCGAAATACGTAGCACACAATCGAGTAATCGTCTTGAACAGCCCTTCAGATACAAAGGGGCTCACACAGTCGCTCATTGGACTGTGGGCAACACGTGACGATTCGAAGCCAAGGACATCGCTCATGATGAGCACTATAAGACCAACCACGGGAGATTCTTCGGCAGCGGTAACACCACGGAACGTACCACGAACTTGACTTGGGATGCCCGGCTGCTCACCCTCGTAGTCATCCGCGAGGAAAATTCCCACAAACAGAACAACAAAGTGTAGCTTTTCAAAAAGTTGCAAGAGCATTGGCGTCGATTCGTCACGTCCTTGCAGATTTTCCAACTCATGGCCCACGCTAGCCGTTAACGACTGGACAAGCGACACTAGCAATGAAGCTGACGCAGAAGCATTTAGTCTGGCAAGAGCGGCAGCCAGCTCGTATTGCTCCCGTGCACTGCTAGCGGCATTGTCTTCAACGTCTTCGTCTTCATCTTGCACCGCTAAAATTTCTAGCGCACATAACTCCAGCTGAACCCGAATGTAAAGCTCAACCACTGGTGCTGAAGCGTTGCTAAGGAGTAACAGTGCTTGTTCTGCTTCGGGTTTCACGGGCCCTGACACGTTCATCTCAAGTAGTAGTGGGTCACTCACGAGCACAACCCAAGCGTCTAATAGAATGCCCACGCCCTCTAGTTCCCACAACTCATCGATTGCATCGCCAGGGGTATCACGTATGTGGCGTTGGATGCGATCCAAAGCTGAATGTAAAAGTTTGCTGGTCAACGAGACCAGTTCCTCGATGAAAGACGACAAAAGTTGCCCCGAGTTTGCTTGCAGGAATGCCTCGAGTCCAATGTTGTTCACGAGGCGAAAGAACAGCTGACAACAATCGATTAGCTCTCGAGTAGCTAGCTCGTAACCAGCGATATCATCCTGTGCTAGCAGATCCAAGAACGGATTGTGCACGACTGTGACGACGCCGCGGAAGATCTCACCCAAGAACTGCACTTGTTCCGTTTTGCGCTCAAAGATCGGACCCTGCAAAGACGCCAGCTGTATCAGAAACTGACGCGCCAAATGCAACAACGTTTCGTTCTTGGCTGCAACGTTGCGGAAGAAAGCATACGTGTTGAATGCCGAGTGAATCAAATCCAACCGCACGAGAATAGGCCGCCATGACGCTTGCGGAGTCAACGCTGGTCGGTTTCCCGTCTCTCCATCGTTTGCCGAAGCACGTAAACTCCACGTCAGATTTCCCGCACGTGCATCTTCCACCTGCCAATTCAGTAGCTCGACACACAGTCGAAACGCTGTCTCCAGCAGCTCGACTTGCTCCACCGGCACTTCTCCAGCAGCACCATGGCAAGCACTCGTTGTGCTCCGAATCGAGTCTTCGAGCAGCGAGATCGCCAGTCCAGCAATCGTCGTCAGTCCTCCACTTTTCTCCAGCGCCCGTCGAGACTTGGTATGGAACTCAACTGGCTGCAGCATGTTGCTTGCTCGGGACGCCGAGGAGAACTCCGTGACGAACGCAAGCAGCCACTTGGCAGCCAATACACGGTGCCCAATAGCAGCACGAAAACTACTACCACCACCACCACCACTATCCCCACTATTGCTGGCACTCTCACCACACGTACTGTCCTGCAGCATGCCGCCCATTTGGTGCAACAGGGCCGTCTGCTCCGCCTCGAGACGGTCGAGCCACCCTCTTTTGACCAAGAGGACCGTCGTCTGCAATGCGGCCGCCGCAACGAACCGCGAGAGCAGCGCACCTCTCTCGAGTAATAAATGCATCAGAAAATCCAGCGCCTGCGACTTGTCCGCGTGCGTGAGACGCGTCCAGCGCTGCAGCAAAACGTCCCGAAGCGTAGCGATGCAATGGAACTGAACCACCGGCGGCGTATGGCCCGCGCGCAGCAACGTGAGCGCGTCAACGAGCGCACTGGGGCTGCGCTTGAAGTGGTTCAGTACGGATTCGGCTTCGGCGCGGCGGTGCGCAGCGTCGGGGCCCGCGGGCGTCGCATGCAGCGCCACGCACGCGGCTTCAAGTGCGTCCATTGAGTGAGAGTCTTAGAGTGGCACAATGCGGCGCAAACGGTAGCGTTTTAGTGCGTGATTTAGCCGCAATAGATAATTCGTCGGTCGGTCGCGTAGATTAAACACGGGTGTGGCACTAAAGTGGGGGGCAGTGGCGCTGCCAGAGTCGTATGTTGGTAATGTGGTCGGTTGCAAACACGCACTGATTAACGAGACGATCAGAATGTTATATAACTCCTGACATGTCCTTCCGCTCCATAGATAACGCTTACCGATCGACGCGTTTCGTTTGCGACGTGGCCGTGATATCTCAGCACTTTGTTATGTCATGATAGACTTGTATGTACTATCGGTAGATCACCCTGGTGTCGAGGCCCCGCAAGTTGCACCTAACGCGGCGAAGCGTTCTTCTGAACCTGTTGAGTCAATCATGAGCATGTTACATGTCCAATGAATGCAGCTGTAACGTACTGATATCGAAACGGCATCGGCATGTTTGAGAGTGTACTGAAGTGATGTCTTGGGCTACTTGTGTAGGACAAAGGAATCGGCTGCTCGCGATTAAAAGCTGGTGTGTTACGGGGTCAGCCCATTACATGTCGTTTGTTTTCACAAATATCTCAATGTAAATATTATCTTAGTTGATAATGTTCATCAAAATTACATGGCTAGGGAAGTATTGATGGAATATTACCTTCAAGGATAGGAAAACATTAACCACCCCCACCCCTATATATTTCCGTAATGTACTCGATTTACGCCTTCTGATTGGTAGGATCGAGAATATTACTGGTCTCAGAAGTAATTTACAATCTCATTTACAAATGGAAGAAGACTGAATCTGAACAATCTATGCACATCTTTAAGTCGGCGACGTGTGGTAATTCATTATTCAGCTAGTTCATTTGGCCGAGTAATGGCTCGGTCAAATACAAATTTATACGAGCGATTCTGGAAGATGTTAGGCTTGTATCGAGTATCCTGCATGTGCACAGTGACTAAGGCATCCAACAACAACATATTCGAAAGTGACTTCAAGCCAGCCGGAGAGGTCTATCAAGAGGTACATCAATCGTCGAAATGCCTGTACAATTGACTAACTATACTAACGTATAATTTGATGATGGTGGTGGCTCTACGCGGCGTCTGACAAGATCCGTACTGATCTTTCATCGATAACGTTTCCCCGAATAGACAGTCTGCATCTGCTGGGCACCACAATTACGGGCTTGCTTTAGCGTATCGTATGTAGTTTCAGGAGGTGGTAGCAGATCCATATGAGAATGACTGACTATGGTGCTAAAGCGCTGAAACATATTCTTCAACTGTTGAAAAAGTAGCGTGTGGGCGAAAGAAAAAAGGATGCAATTATAGTGTTGGGATTGGCTGCCAGTATTCAGCAATACGACGTTTAGGTATGACCAATCAAAAACATGGAAAATATATAAATTACGGTAACTTATAGGGGTGGGGGCGTTTAGCGAAAACCTGGGGGTGGTTAACGTTTCCCCAAGGATAACATAAATGGCCGCTCCACTCATTAGTTGATGAGGCCATGACATCAACCAAACTTCCCATCAATGGCTGCCAGACACGCGCATGGGCTGTGAGCGAATAATCTAATCGGAAATTGTAGTTTGAATTAATTTAACTATGACAAAGAAAGCTCATCAAAAGAAAGATAATTGTTTTGTATATAGTTCTACATTTCACCTTACTCAGAGATTCCTCAACGCTCACGTGTACGTGACGTCCACAGCACACACCCTTGTGTTGGAAACACACAAGGGCTTACCAGTTGTAGGTAAGAGCATGCCCTGTTACATAGTGAGTATGATTATAAACTACTAAAATGACAGATAGCTTGATGAGAAGCATTTTATAGGGTGCAGATGAGCTGGTACGTGGCAATTGGTCGTGAAAAGTAAGCTAAGATACTTTTCCTCTACCAACGCAGCGTATAAAGGACGTTTGTGTTGTTCAAAAATGGTGCCTGGACATTTAACACTTCGTTACCGGCATCAGTCTTCTGCAGCACAAATTGGAAAGTGAACGATTGTTCAAGCTTTTGTCCGTCTTACTCGATTGCACTGCAAACGAATATATATATATATATATATATATATATAATATATCAGCTTTTAGGAACCCTTTCTAGAAGCTTACACAATCACAACCTTCGTGTCCCAACCATCAGTGGTTATTTTCATTCGACAATATATATATATATATATATATATCAGCTTTTAGGAACCCTTTCTAGAAGCTTACACAATCACAACCTTCGTGTCCCAACCATCAGTGGTTATTTTCATTCGACAATTGAACACGCATAGTCTCAGAGCGCATATTACTAGTAGACTTCAGACGATGATGTACGAATCACCATCTCGTTATACAACCAACATTGATTGCACGACTAATTATGTATGCAACAAACACCGTCGAGTGCCTACTTCAGATGTCATAATGAGGATAATTGACATGATAATTTTCCTCACTTTTAATAGCTTGGATCACTTTAAATCCGCTAGTTGTACGTTATTCGTTGACTTCGTCTTGCAATATTCAATTTACTCATTAGATATGTCATGTTTACGTCGCTTTAAGTTGACAAGCCATAGATCACTCATATTGCTAATAGCATACCCAACCGAGAACAGATAGTCGTGACTCAACTCGTCGTTCGGGGATACACTTGCTTAATGCAGCCCTTGTCGCCTTGTGTTTTTGCCGATTGTCTTGCAGCAAATTGTCATTTATATGCCCTAGAGATCTCCAGAGTAGTGCGAGCACTAGGATTTCGCTCTCGTCGCTCTCCCTCGCGCTTGCCCTTATAAGTAGCCGTATAAGCTTTATCTTGACCGCGTTCGGGTCAAATGACCACTCCCATTAGTTGTGTGGTGAAGTGCTATTTAAAGTTGTGAAATTGGAGGCCAGCGGGTTGAAGGAACAAAGGACCGCACATCAGGGAGAAGTCACCTGAGCGATAGAGGATCACGGAGGCGACGCGACCCTTGAATAAGAATAAGTTGTAGAGCCAACCAAGGGGAGATCGTTTCCAGGGTAGCGATTAAACAGTACTGACAGGAGTCGACTACGGCCCCTCATCGAAAATCCCGGTACCTCATCGGTAGACCTCAGCCCCTCATTGGTAGACCCGGTCCCTCATCGATGGACATCGATCCATCATTATTGGGCCCGATCCATCATTGTTAGACCTCGGTCCCTTAAGATCGAGCTACTCCTGGTCAGTCAAAATAAGGATTCAGGGCATAAAGCAAGGATAAAGTAAAGTAGTTAAAGAGTAGGAATACATCAAATACCACTAAGCTTTCGATCTATATGGCACTGTGACGAAGCGCAGAGAAAGAATGATGGAAATTGTGGAGGGTGCGAACTCAATTTATTTGGTTGAGCGCGCTCGGAGATGGGCCCGTTGGCACGAGGAATGTGATTAAACGACTGAGTGAAAGAAAACGAATGTTGAAGTTATGCGGATTGATCGACCAAAAGGTCAAGAAGGAGTATTTTCAAGGGGAGACGATTGACCGATCACGATCCGCGGTCAAGGGCTTAGATCTCCAAGCTACAAGGACCTGATCACTCGAGAGGGGATCAACATCGGGATCACGTCATCGATAACGACAATGGATGACGGGTGAATACGAAGCTGGCTGGAGGAGTGGATCATCAAAGTCATCAAACATGCGAGGTATCAGAAGTGGCAGTAATTCGACGGTGGATGCCCGATCGGAGACTCGAGAGATTGACCACGATCTATCCTAGACGTGTACCGCTTGATGGTGTGAACACATAATTATTGTGACCCGCATTCCGCGATCCACTACACGAGCAATTCGCAACATGAGCGATCCACTACGGAGCGATCCACTACGGAGCGGTCCGCTACCCGAGTATCTGCTCTGGACCACATGATGCAAGAAGTGAATTACATGGATATGCGATACGCAACGGTTGATCTAGCAAACAGATCGGCATAGTCATAGTTTTGGATTTGGTTGGTTGACATTATTTAGAATTGAACTTGCAACGAAATACACGCGTCTACTTCTCCCGGGCAGGATCTTCGGCCTCCTGTCGAACAGAGAGTGACCCGCGTCTCTACAAACTTCGCCCTTGGATTGTGTGGACAGGCGGAGCGTCAATTCTCACCCCAAAATGCGATTAGACGCAGTGAACCTTACGGTTCAGATTCGAGATCGCGAGACGGCTCAAGTGGTCAGAAGGCTCGCGCATCAAGCATCACCCTTGGACAAAGGCGACTCCGGGAGAGCGCCCAAGCATATGCGCGATCGAGTGAAGAACTTCCACTCTATCCGCCCCTACGTTTGACCGGGTGAAGAATTTCCACCCGACCAACCCCTATCCCTAAAACGGTCAAGTTCAGCCTCAGCTCAAGTCCACCAAGAAGAACGCAACCCGCCCCACCGACGGGTACACAAGGTGAGCAAGAAAACACAGAGCACGGAATCGGGGTACCCCCTCCATTGGTCGGTCGTCCGGGCGCCAGTGGAGAGTCGGGGTCTTCTCGGGAAAAAAGCGATTGCCACTTCACCAAAGTACGTCTTCGACGTGCTAAACTCAACCTTCTAACTCTAACCGCCTGTTCCCGGTAAGGTGTACAATATGCCCCCGTAAAGACAGTCACGACGCAAGACCAAGTGCGAATAGGACTTCAGAAAGAATATGAACAGTACTTTTGTCTCGAGTAGCACCCCCTAAAGATTCGATATCGGAAGAGGCCTCCCCTACACAGCGTTCAGGTAGCAACGTAAAGACTAGGTGGCTTATACCCCTGAGACAACAAGCAAAAGGCTAGGAGCGACCTTATTTCTGATAACTTTGTTATAAGTCCACTTTCGACCAAGTAAATAGATTGGCCACCTACTGGCTTACCTGGTGAAACATATCTACTCGAGATCCTCAGGTCTTCCTCTTACAATACGGACACCTACATCTTCACGAAAGTCTTTCGATGAGTGCGACATATGAGACAA